AGAAATCTTAAAGGTATCTTCTGTGGAATAATGGCACGGGTGCCCGTTTATTACTGATACTCAGAACAAATGGTTTAATTCCAAGAGTATCAATGTGTGCACCAGGCAGCAGTCGGCTGTTCTTAGGATTGTTACAGAAACTACAACAGTCTAAAATCTAGCTATCCCTTTATTACTGACATCTCATCAGATCGCCTGGTATTTTCTGAGCCAAGAAACTATCCACCTGACTCCTGATAATGACTCTCAAAGAGAAGACTAAGATAAGATGGTATAAGCAGGCATGGCAACAGCAGAAGGAGGTAGTGGTAAACACTACCATGCTTGTTAGCAGGCAGGCAGCCCGTGGCACACTGAATCAGCTACTACAGACCAAGCTCAGAGCGAATTATACAAGCCCTTGCCATCTACAGGCACAACTACCGGCTTAGATTGTTACAACAGGCTCTACATAGAGCTTCCTTTGAAGACGACTCAAAAGCTTGTCAGGAATGCAGCAGCACAGATCGCTATGGGTATAGCACTGAATGTTCCATGTAATGCCACAAGGCAACAAACTATAGTGGCTCCCAGGATGTGGATTATCAACCAATAAGCTCTTCATAGCGTGTGGCCAAGTTGTTGGAGGAGCTGCCTATCTCTATTCATCTCTGACCATCCCCACAAGATCCGAAAGGGTTGATATGCTCTAGATCCCTTCTATGAAAGGACAACACCTGAGGAGATCTAGAAGCTACGGCTTCTCTGTCTCTGTTCTCTATGTGGAACAGTATACAGGCAGTCCTCGACTTACGACCACAATTGAGCCCAACATTTCTGTTGCCAAACAAGACAGTTGCTAAGTGAGTTTTGCCTCACTTTATGACCTTGCTTGCCACAGTTGTTAAGTGAATCACTGCAGTTAAGTTAGTAATATGGTTGTTAAGTGAATCTGGCTTCCTCATTGACTTTGCTGGTCAGAAGGTTGCAAATGGTGATCACCTGACTCTGAGATATGGTAACCGTCATAAATATGAGTCAGTTGTCAAGTGTCTGAATTTTGATCATATGACTGTGGGGATGCTGCAAAGGTCATAAGTGTGAAAAACGGTCATAAGCTACTTTTTTTCAGTGCCGTTGTAACTTCAAATGGTCACTAAATAAACCAGGGGCCTTCAAACCTGGCCCTTTTATGACTTGTGAACTTCAATTCCGAGAATTCCTCAGCCAGGCACGCTGGTTGAGGAATTCTGGGAGTTGAAGTCCACAAGTCATAAAAGGGCCAAGTTTGAAGGCCCCTGAAATAAACTGTTGTAAGTCAAAGACTACCTATAGCAGGCATGTCAAACTCGCGATGTCACGTGACGTCACGCAACGTATCGGGCCGGTTTTGCCATTGCTGGCAATGGGGTGGGCGCGGCTTTCACGTGACGCATCCGGCACGCGGGCCGGCAGTTCGACACTCCTGACCTATAGTCACTCCCCTCCTGCCTGACATCCTGATGACCTAACTCTGCTGTCCTTTCAGAGTCAGGGTTTGAAGAACTGGCTCTTAACTCAGGCATTGGGCCAAGGTGTTGCACAAGACCATTCTACAAAGGTTAAGAGAATGTTTATCTTCAGATTTGTTGTTTTCTTCTTCTTTTTGTTTGCTTGGATATTTTCTGGGCTTGATTTTTATCCAATGTCAGCTGCCCAGAGTCGCACCTGCATGTCAGGCAGCCCTATTCATTGATGTAAATTGATCTGTACTGTGTTGGGTTTTCCTTATTATGCCAAGGCTTGGTAGCTGTGTGGACTTTGGGTCCCCTTGCAGCCCAGCCTACCTCCCAGGGTTCCCGTGAGAATATAGGGTTGTGGAGATCCTCATGTAAGCCATCTGGAATGCCTAAGGGAAAGATGAGATGGCAGTCAAATAAATAAATAAACATCCAGTGGGGGGAAAAGTAAGGTTCTACAATTAGGCAAGAAAAACCAAATGCACAGGTATAGTATAGGTGGTACCTTGCTCAATAGTAGTAACTGTGAGAGGGATCTCAGAGTCCTAATGGACAATCACCTAAATATGAGCCAGCAGTGTGCTGCAGCTGCCAAAAAAGCCAGCACAGTGCTAGGCTGCACTAACAGAGGGATAGAATCAAGATCACCTGAAGTATTAATACCACTTTACAATGCCTTGGTAAGGCCACACTTGGAATACTGCATCCAGTTTTGGTCACCGCGCTGTAAAAAAGATGTTGAGACTCTCGAAAGAGTACAGAGAAGAGCAACAAAGATGATTAGGGGACTGGAGGCTAAAACATATAAGGAACGGTTGCTGCAATTGGGTATGCCTAGTTTAATGAAGAGAAGAATGAGGGGGGACATGATAGCAGTGTTCCAATATGTCAGGGGCTGCCACAGAGAAGAGGGAGTCAAGCTATTCTCCAAAGCGCCTGAAGGCAGGACAAGAAGCAACGGATGGAAACTAATCAAGGAGAGAAGCAACCTAGAACTAAGGAGAAACTTTTTGACAGTTAGAATAATTAATTAGTGGAACAACTTTCCTCCAGAAATGGGGAATGCTCCAACACTGGAAGTTTTTAAGAAGAGACTGGACGGCCATTTGTCTGAAATGGTATAGAGGTTCCTGCCTGAGCAGGGGGTTGGACTAGATGACCTCCAAGGTCCCTTCCAACTTTATTATTATTATAAACAAACAAACAAATAAATAAATATCCACATTGCATAGTACTTGGTGCGGATGTGAAAGAGGCGGGGTGCCTTTGATTTACTGCCTGCTGGTCTAGAGAAAGCCGAAAAGGGGAGTTCCAGGTCTATCTCTGGTTAAAGCCATAGGATAGAACAGAATGACCAGAAACTGCTCAGGAGAGTCCACAGAAGGTGGTTAAAAAAATGTCTAGACAGCAACCTGATTGTGTGATTGAAGCCCTGCCCTTTTCTGTGCATCGTATGCAAAGTCCATGTAAAAAGGGGCAGGGGCTTTGAGTATTGGATTAGAACCACCATCTTATTATTTTACCTTAGTCTGTGGACATTCCTGGAGCTGATTAACCTTTTCAACAGCAGCAGCCAAACAACTGCAACATCTAGCTAGATGAACAGATGCTAAACAGAACAGTATTGAGCACAATTTCCCCCCAGAAAACAAAAAAAGAGAGGGGGGGGGAAGTATGATCATGACAATGCAAGCACAATTGAGAAGCTGTCCATGATCATAATCTACATTATTAATCTGGTGATTAGCATTAGCAATCCTTTTTCCATTGTCTTCCTTAGAGCATGATCAGTGCTTTGAGACAAGGAGAGAGCCCTTAGCCAAAGAAATGTTAAATGTGACACACTCCAGGCTTGTCACCTTTGAAAGAAGAATTAAGAAAATATTAACATTCAATATTAATAAGGGGAGGAAACAGAGTCGCAAAGGTAGATTCTTTGCCAAGGTTTCAAATACGCCCACATGGTGATGGCAGCCCAGGTAGACCTGTGTGATGGACCACAAAATCCATCATATCCAGCCAACTGGGTGGGAGAGCTGCAGCTGAATTAGAGGATGCTGGGATGGGATAGGCAACACAAAAGGGAGAATGCTGTGGTAGGAAGAAAGCTATGCACAGCACTCATAAGAGCGGTGATGACTGAAAGAACCTACAAAACAATTATATAATGCGCACATCCAAAGACAGGCAGGAGCTAAGACAATCACAGGCTTACCTTTACAGAAACAGACACACACACACAACCTGTATGCTTGTACACAGAAGCTAATGAAACCCCGAGTTCTAACCCATATTTTCCTACTCAGGTGCGTCTTTCCAAATAAATAAAAAAATCAGTAGGCGAACATTGGCATATTGACCAACCCATCAATTCAAGGAAAAGAACCTGACCTTCCCTATCCCCCTTCCTCCCCACTCCCCCAGGTGTAGAAAAACCAAAAAAAGAGGAAGCCTGTTCATGTTGTACAGAGTTTGGTCTCCACAAAGCCGGCAGATAGTCAACCCATTCAAAGAAATAATATGTACCCAGGCGTGAGCAGGAAGAAAGGGGGGGGGTGATGGCTGGTTATCGGCCCACCTGATACGGAATCCAGTACAGGTTTTGTTGCAGCAGCTCAAAACCAGCCAAACATTTCAGGCGATCTGCTGCCGTTTTCATTCATACACACAGGCCCGCTACACTCCCCATAATCTCTGCATTGGCCATGTGGGCAGGGACTCCTGGGAGCCTCCTTTTAAACACAGAGAGAGCAGCAGCGGGGTTGCCTGCCCCCTGCTGCAGCCCAATGCTCACTTATGCAGGTGCCAGCATATGCCCACCTCCTATGCACAGGCTATAGTCACAGGGCGGGCAAGCATGCCAGGAGAGAGGGAGGGAGGGAGGGAGGGAGGGAAGGCGTCTAGAGAGGGGGAGAACTGCCACTAAGTAAGAGGGACAACTGCACAAGCCGCCACCCTAAACCTGGGCGCCTGCGACCATAAGTCTCAAGTAAAGCTGCGAGAGGAGCAGTCTTGGAAAACGAAGACCGCTCCTACCAGCATTAGCCATTCAGCTTTAAGAAGGTGTTAAATTGAAATTTACCAACAAAGAATTAAAGGGAGACTAGTAGAGCTATTTCGAGCTTTTTGGCTTGAAGAATGGGCGGAGGGGCAAGTCCATCAACCAACCAACCAACCAACCAACTAACCAACCAACCAACCAACCCTATACCGCACGGCCTGGACGGGCATCCTACAGCCAAGCGGACCGAGCCCGCAGGGTTGTCTCTCCCTCCCACCGCGAGCAGAAGCAACTGCAGGCAGAACCCAACGCAAACACACGGGACTCCGGCGCCGAAGGGAACACACGCTGCTTCTCCGCCGTACGCGGCCGGCAGCGGCACAAAGAGGCAGCTGCCGCCGAAAGCCACCGCCGGCAAGACGCCCAGGCGCCGGCGGCAGAAGCAGCCGATCCAGATGGACAATGCCACGCAGTCACCGCTCCATCCCTGCCAAGCCGTCCCGGCTGCCGGGCTCACTTACGGGGGGAGGTGGAGGGGATCGCGCACGAGAGGTCCGTCCGGCGGCTTCCCGGGAAGGCTGGGTCCGGCGGGAGAAGTCCCTGCGACTCCCGCCCCGCCCCTCCCCGCCCTGTCGTGGTCCGGAGCTCGAGGAAGTGGCGCTCCCGCTTCTCTCCTCGGCTTTGCCCTCGCTCTCCGGCCACCCGCCGGGAGTCAGCACGAGGGGGCGGAGTCAGGCCGCAAAAGAGAGCCAATCCGCGGCCCCAGGGGTGGGAACGGCCCGGCGATGAGCTTCAACTCAAATTAACTAAGGCTGGAGGAGAAAGCGCCGGTGGGGCGCAATGCCGAGACGGCCCCATTCATAAATTCAGGCAAGCGCGTGTCCGCCTGTTGCCCGCCCGGGGCTGAATAACCTTTGGATTTGGGGACGGCGCGGTTAACTTCGCCCCTGCGGCCCTGACTCGCTTTCTCTGCTCGCCTCCTGCCGAGCCTCCTCTTTGCAAGCGAGCCGCTCTCCTTTTAGAGTTAGACGCACACGAGCAAGGACCTGATTTCTGCAGAGGAGTGCTGGGTCTTCCTTTTTTCTGGAATTTCGGGTTGCCAAAACCTCCGCGGAAAGTTAGACGTATCTTGGGAAACGAAAGCATTCTGCACGGTTTCCGTAGCGGTTCTGCTGCGGGGATGAATTTCTACGCGGAAAATTAGCTTGGGGGGATTCTTTTCATTTTACCGATTCATCTTTTTTTTCCCCCTTTACCGGTAGCTATTCAACCCATGACTGTGCTTGTATTTGGGATTTACTGCCTTTCTGCCTAAACTGGACTGGGCAGGACGGCTCTCCAACCGGTATAGTTACCAGGAGAGACCCATCAGCTGAGAGTTGGTAGCCACCAATATCTAGAATCTAGATCCTTATATAGCAGTATCGCTTTCTTCACTTTAGCATCCTCCAGTTATGTCGGATCTATCCCAGTCTTCCAGCATTGGTTGAAAACCATTTACTAGGAGTCGTAGTCCCAACATAATAACGGTGCCAAGTGAGTTATAGTGTCTCTAGCTAAGATCAGCTCAAATTCAGTAATCTTCCTTGTATTTCTTAGCTTATCTCCACCAAATTCTCCCATATTTTAGAGATATCGCAACCAACACTGAAAGCCACTTGGTGCCTGACTGCAAAACTCAAATACTTGAATCCATTTACACAGTGGTTATTATTATTTTATTATTTATCTTGTTTCCTCTAGTTCAAGGTAGCATGTCTGGTTTTTCCTATCGATTCTACACTCACAATAGGTTTCTTGTTGTTAGTTGCGAAGTTGTGTCCGACCTATCGCAACCCTATGGACCACATTACTCCAGGCCTTCCTACCATCTTCTGGAATCCATTTAAGCTCACGCCTACTGCTTCAGTGACTCCATCCAGCCACCTCATTCTCTGTCATCCCATCCTTCTATTGCCCTCAATCTTTCCCAGCATTAGGCTCTTCTCCAGTGAGTCCTTTCTTCTCATTAGGTAGCCAAAGTATTTGAGTTTCAACTTCAGGATCTGGCCTTCTAAAGAGCAGTCAGGGTTGATCTCCTCTAGGACTGACCGGTTTGAACGCCTTGCAGTCCAAGGGACTCGCAGGAGTCTTCTCCAGCACCATAGTCCAAAGGCCTCAATTCTTTTGCGCTCAGCCTTTCTTATGGTCCAACTTTCACAGCCATACATTGCAACTGGAAAAATCTTGGCCTTGACTATATGCACTTTTGTTGGCAGGGTGATGTCTCTACTTTTTAGTATGCTGTCTAGATTTGCCATAGCTTTCCTCCCCAAGAGTGTCTTTTAATTTCTTGGCTGCAGTCCCCATCTGTGGTGATCTTGGAGCCCAGGAAAATAAAATCTGTCATTAGGTTTCTACTACTAGAGTATTGCTTGGCAGGCTATTAGGTTAGAGTAGACTAATGAAAGAGAACCTTAAACAATATGAAGGATAGTGATACAAGCTGGAGATACAAACTAGAAATATTCTGAAGAGCGGAAAGAAAATTGTCCAGTGAAGCTTAATGAATTGTTTTTTAATGATAATTCTTAGAGATTGAAAAGTGGTAAGACAGGACGCTGAGATTTAAAAATATTAAGTGTCCAGGATGGAGTTTAAACAGAAATGTTGTTTACGCTGTACAATTTACAATTTCTTTTCCTGTTGCCTTTTAATTTGTAAAGCTGCCAAAAAAACATTACTCCACTCTGCTTTTAATCCTGAGGGATGCCTTGAAAATTTATCTCTTTGAATTATTTTGGGATAGATAGAGTGCCTTGTTTTATTTTTGTCCTTTTTGCATCTTTCCAATATAATCATACTACACAACAGCAAAATGAATGTGACAATCCCCATTTCTGCTTTGTCATGTCTTCATCTCTGTGCCAATCGTTTCAGTCTTAAGAGAACACAGGGAAGCAAATATTTTTGTGGAATGTTTCTTAGAAACAATATCTCAGGGAAACGTTTCAGTCCCTAGCCTGTTATGATAGCCAAGAAAAAAAACCAATAGATCAGTGGTGGCGAACCTATGACACGGGTGCCAGAGGCAGCATTCAGAGCCCTCTCTGTGGGCACGCGCACCGTCGCCCCAGTCCTAGGCCTTCAGATGGGTTTTATAAAACCTTTTCGCTTCAGGCCTCCGCCGCCATGTGCAAAACAAAAAGGTTCAATCAATCAATCAATTTCAACTTCTCATGGGGAAAAAAAAGATCTTGCAAAGTTGGAATTGATTGATTGAACTTTTTAGTGCCACCCAGTCTGCCGTTACCACCGCAGCCACGCCCACCTAATGGGCCACACCCACCCAGCACCCGACGATGCATAAGTGGGTTTTGGGTTGCAGTTTGGGCACTCAGTCTCTAAAAGGTTCGCCATCATTGCAATAGATCATTGAAGAAATAAATGCAGACTTCTCACTCGTGGGAGGCCAGGCTCAAATTATCCTACTTCAGACACATTCTGTGAAGACCCAGCTCTCTGGAAAAGGCTCTAAACCTGAGAAAGGTGGAAGAGGGCAACCAGCAGCAAGATGGACAGACTCAGTTGCAGTGGCCATGAATGCACCATTGGGAGACATGAAAGAACAGGTGAGGAATAGATCATCATGGAGAAAATCTATGCTGTTGCTAGGAGTCGAAAATGACTTGATGGCACATAATCATTCAACAGTCAATCATCCGGTTATGTGGAGATCACATTAGTTCATGAAATTGACTATGATCACCAGGCAGCTAAACAGCCACATCCCACCCCTATGTATTAATGTCACTTTTAACTCTTTGTGAGTTGCTTTAGAGCAGTGCCCCCCAAACTTTTGGGCACCAGGGTGTGGGAATGATTGCATAGATTTGCTTATAGACTTGCTCCCATACAGTCCTTGACATACCAAAACAGACCGTTCCAGCCATGGAACACATCCATCAGCCATTTGGACAGGCTCTGATAAGAACACGGGAAACAGGATGGATGAGTCATCACCCACCTGCACAGCCTTGCATCTGGAAAGTGTCTGCTATGTGATACATTGTAACCGCTCTTGTATACGCCTTTTGATTACACCGATGTAAAAACTATTGTAACAATAAAAGAGGGTCTTGGAGTCAGCTCTGGGCTCTCATCCCGAGATACCTAAGTGCGTGTCTCATTCTTCATGGGAGACCACCACACCAGGGACCGGTTCCATGGAGAAAGGTTTTTCCATGGACCGGAGGGGGCGTGGTTTTGCATCCTGCCTGCATCCCATAGATAGGGCTTCGTTTGTGTGCACGGCCTTGTTCCTGGCATGCTGCGCACCGGTGCTAGTCCATGGACCGGGCCTTGGGGACCCTGGCTTTAGAGTACTGTATAAACCCAACCAGTTTGATTAGCTTTTAGTTCAATATACTGGATGTTCCCGCACAGAACATTTAACGAGTCAACACGTTGGGTGAAACTAGACATTCAGCCATTCAACCGCTGTGCAACGCCACCCTGCCCCACACTCTCAGCCCCTCCCCAAAGAATTTAGGGGAAAGAAATCAGACACACCATAGTCACCAGTTGCTTCTGGATTTATTAATTCTTTGGGGATGATTCTGATCTTTTCTCCAAATGCCGGCTCTTCTACCTTTCGTCATGCACATATTGTTTGTTTTCTGGCTCTCACCCTAAAGCCACTTATGTTTTTTTCCCCAAAACAACGGAGTTTGAAAAGTCTTCAAACAACGGACCGAACGTTGAAACTTGCTGGTAAACGGGGAAGCAAAAAGGACTCCAAACTGGGGAAGAGGGTAAAAAAGACAATTGTATGTTTAATAAGAAAACTGGGAGTGATCGGTCAGCCTTTGAAGGAGTTGGTGATGGAAGAAGTCTGTCCATATAACAGGCAGATAGAATCCAAGGCAAATGCAAACATCTGCTCGAGCCTCTTCTCCAACTGGTTATCAACACAGAATGAATTATTGACCCCCACTCCCATGCCAAACAGCAGTGTTATGTTCAATTTCAGCGAGAGTGAACACACTCATCCTGGAACAGTCGAGAATGCAAAAGGAGCCCGAGGCCAGAAGGTGAAATTGATCAAGGAAGAGATGGACAGGAAGGCAGACTAAATGCACACGGCTTTTTGACGAAGACAAGCAGGCTCCTGAGGCAGTGGTTGATCTGTACCCAAGTGAGGAAGAGGACACAGATGGCCTGGTCCCGCCCTTGTGCTCTTTTCATCACCAGTCTGCCAATGTTTCATGCAGTTTGCCTGCTAAATGGCTGGTGGAAATAAGAGCTGCCCAAATGGGTTCAGCCCATGTGCAGCTTGCAGGAAAGAACCACGGGAGCACAGTGGCTCATTGCCCTGCCTGTGAATGGCTCATGGAAGAGCTGTTCTTCCCTATCTCTTTTGAATGAAAGACTTTTGGCTAGGCTTCTTCCCAGCTTACTTTCTCACTTTCTTGGGAGTTTCTGGGTGAGGCTGGGTTAAAATATAGATTCTGGAGGAGGAAGGAATCTCTCCTCCCCCTATCACCCTACTTGGTGTTTCCTAACTGCACTTCTAGCCATCTGCAATTTCGATACCGAATTGTGTGTTTCTGGAAATAATATGGGGCAAGACTGGGTCACTTAGTCGGTTCCACCGAAATAGAAAATCCTTTTTCTTCCTTGGACCGTTGAATGTTCCAAATGCTCAAGTCCTTTGCTCCAGAACCCGCTAGTCTTTCTCGGCTTGTTTCCATGGAGGATAACTCCTTTCTATCAACACTATGGCGCAAGGGAGAACTTGCAACCCTCAATACCATCCCAGGAAGACAACGAGCCAAATAGGAAGTAAAGACATCATAGCTGCCTTGCAAAAATTATGTCCACCCAAGTAGTGCAGACCTCATCCTTGATAACAGTTTGGATTGTAACTATGTTTGAATGGTGAAATGCAGGGGGAGGAGGCACACCGTTCCCTCTACAGTTCTACAGATATAACAGGCATCTACTTAAAGCACCCGCAGGACAATTCTACCCATGCCTCGGAACTTCCCCGGATGTTTCATCTTAGCTCTGTCCTAATTGCTGATGAGCTACAACTGGTGCAGCCACAGAGTCAATAAATCGTTCCCAAACTTAAGAAAAGACAGGCCTTTGAGACACTAGGCTCCCACACTTGACCTTCGCTGTGCCTATCGCTTTCGAGGTGCTGTTTTCCTTAACACACCAATAAAGGAAGAGCAGTAGGAAGGAAAAAACAAAATCTAACTTCAAGAACGACCCTTCCATCTGTTCCAGTTTATGCTGCTGACAGATCCTGAAACCTGGCATTTGGTGCGCAAGACTAATATAGATTTTGTTCCGTCTCGCCTCTATGCCACAGCATAGTTGTCCTTACAGAGGGGACTGCCGCTTTACGCAACCCTGGGCGCTCATTTCACCGCACACCACAGGGCTCAAAGCCACACCCAGAAAGAGAAGGCACACTGCTGGAAGCCAACCTGCCCAGAGTCTCAGCTGAAATATATAGCAAGAGGAGTGAGGACAAACCAGTGAGGGATGCTGCTATATAGTCTACACCTGCGGCTGACATCTCCCCTTAAGCTGGGGCCTCCATTATGGTTCAAATGGAGAAGCTCGGCCAGGCGTCTTGTAGCATTAACCATCTAGCAGCTTAAGGATGCTCTCGCGTTCCTTGAGGCTCTTCCAAGCTTGGTCTTTTTCCTTCTTGGTTGGGGTGCGCTTCTTCTGGCGGGCAGCCATGATCTTGCGGAAGGCATCCATGACTTCGTTGTCAGCAATGCGCACACGTTGCCGCAGCTCTTGCCTGTGAAGTTCCTCTTTGGCCAGCCTGTAAGGATAACAAAACCAAACTCTTGAGTCATCTCTGGATCCTCACCTCCTTGATCCGACTTTACTGGTTACAACAGTTCATTTAGTGCAGGGGTGTCAAATTGCCGGCACACAGGCCGGCTGTGTCGTGCCGAAACCATGCCCACCCCATTGCCGGCAATGGTAAAAAAAGCCGCGATACGTTGCGACACATCATGCGACGTTGCGAGTTTGACACCCCTGATTTAGTGACAGCTCCAAGTTATAAGGGCACTGAAAAAAGTGACTTAATGACTTGTTTTTCCACACTATTGACCACTGCAGCACCTGTGTGGCCACGTGATCAAAATTCAGACACTAGGTCCATGGTGGCGTGCCAAAGGCGGCACGTAGAGCCCTCTCTGTGGGCACGCACACCCTCGCCCCCAGTCCTAGGCCTTCAGCTGGGTTTTTATAAAACCTTTTTGCTTTAGGCCTCTGCCACCATGTGCAAAAAAAAAAAAAAAGGTTCAATCAATCAGTCAATTTCAACTTCTCGCGGGAAAAAAAAAGATCTCCCAAGGTTGGAATTGATTGAACTTTTTAGTTTTACCCAGTCTGCCGTTACCACAGCCACGCCCACCCAATGGGCCACACCCACCCAATGGGCCACACCCACCCGGCACCCAACAATACATAAGTGGGTTTTGGGTTGCAATTTGGGCACTCAGTCTCTAAAAGGTTCGCCATCACTGCTCTAGGCAACCGACTCATTTACACAACTGCAGTGATTCACTTGACAAGGAAGATGATTAAAATGGGGCAAAATTCACTTCACAACTTTCTTGCTTCGCCACAGAAATTTCGGGCTCAGCTGCAGTTGTTAAGTCGAGAACAAATGAGTGGATGATCAGACTTGTGGCTTGTATCTCACCTGAGCAGCTCGACTTTCTTGGTCCGGTTGTGTGTGCTTAACGCCTTAAGTTCAGCCTGCCTCTTCCGCAGCTCGGCTAGCACTTCGTCCTCCGAGTCCTCTGCCGGTCGGTCCTCTGACTCCAGCAGCCCTTGAGCAATCAGCTCTTCCTTGATGCGGCCTTCAAGAGATTTTGTGTGGGGTACGCTGAGGAGGACAAGAGAACAGGAGCAGCCTTACAGGTACGTCCCTTACTTACCACAGGTACGTCCCTGACTTACCACAGTTAATTTAGAGGCCGTTCAAAGGGCACTGACAAAAGTGACTTAGGACCATTTATTTTACACTTAGGACCGCTGCAGCCTCCGTCAGGTCACGTGATCAAGATTCAGATGCCTGGCAACCGACTTGTATATATGACGGTTAAGTGTCCTGGGGCCATGTAATCCCCTTTTGTGACCTTCTGACGAGCAAAATCAATGGGGGAAGCCAGATTCGCTTAACAACCAGGTTACTAACTCAACAACTACAGCGATTCACTGAATGACTGTGGCAAGAAAGGTCATAAAATAGGGCAAAATTCACTTAACAAATGTTTCACTTAGCAACAGACACTTTGGGCTCAATTGCTGTTGTTAAGTCAAGGAGTACCTACACCAGGAATCTGGGCATCATATATATTAAACAATCCCTATATATTTCCCACACCTCTGAAAAGGCTCTTTACACTATGAATCAGTTTCCAGGCACTTGCCCAGGGCTGCAGGAAAATAATTGTTGTTTACTGAAGGGAAAGGAAGGCTAGTAAATTCCACCAAGCAACTGAAGTGGCTTTTGGCATTTTCTGGACAACTTTGGCTATGACATCAACAGTTCTCCTAAAACTCTTCCACGAAGAGAAGAACGAGGGGGGACATGATAGCAGTGTTCCAATATCTCAGGGGCTGCCACAGAGAAGAGGGAGTCAAGCTATTCTCCAAAGTGCCTGAAGGCAGAACAAGAAGCAACGGGTGGAAACTAACTAAAGAGAGAAGCAACCTAGAATTAAGGAAAAACTTCCTGACAGTTAGAACAATTAACCAGTGGAACAACCTGCCTCCAGAAGTGGTGAATGCGCCAGCACTGGAAGTTTTTAAGAAGAGATTGGACAACCATTTGTCCGAAATGGTCTAAGGTTTCCTGCCTGAGCAGGGGGTTGGACTAGATGACCTCCAAGGTCCCTTCCAACTTTATTATTAGTATTATTAGTATTATTATTATTGTTGTTGTTGTTATCGTCTGTTGGCACATATGTTTCCACCTTCAGCAAAGGTCAAGGTTTCCCCTGTCCAGTCATGTCTAGCTCTAGGCACGGTGCTCACCTCTGTGTTTTGGCCCAGGGAGCCAGCGTTGTCTGAAGACACTTTCCCCCGTCATGTGGCCAGCACGGCTATACGCCAAAGGCACACAGAACACTGTTGCTGAAGTGGTACCTATTTATCTACTTGCCTTTGCATACTTTTTGAACTGTTGGGTGAACAGAGCTGGGTCAAGGAATGAGAGCTCACCCCATTGTGTGGTGCTCAGGTCTCAAATCCGAGCTGTCAAGCTTTCTGACAAACTCGGTGTCATTAAGCGCTGAGCCACAACTTTTCCAGAAATTCACTACCTGAAGGCCAATATTACTATCCTCTCATTGCCTATGTTTTTTAAGTATTCTTATCTTTTTATTAAATATAACACTGATTGTCTTATGTAATTTACTGTCATTCCTATGTGCCAACAGTTTTTTGTTGTTCAGTTATTTACTCGCCCACAGATTCTTTGTAAGTCTATGGATGCCGTTTCACCAGGACCGGCTGTTGATAACTGCTTCTTTTGATTTCTTATACGCTCCTGCTTATTTTGTCAGCGACAGCATCTAGTCAACTGTAGGACTTTTGACTTTTCCAAATATTGGAATCTTTTCTCATGATTTTTGCTTGTCCAAAACATTTAAGCTTCCATTGGCTAGTCTGGTTTTACTTCACCTAGTCTTGTTTTTGTTGTTTTTGATGTCCAAAGTATTTTCAACAATGTTCTGCATAACTATCTAAAGCATCTGTTTTTTCTTCACACAACCTTTTTGAGGGTCGAACTTTCCTGGGCATTTGCTCCAAAAGTAGTGATTTCCAAGCTTGTTTCATAGCTACCAGTCACTATTCCTGTGATTTCTTTTGAGCTTAGGAAAACAAAGTCAGCTAGTATTTCATCTTCTGCACTGGGCTTGCATTAGTGCAGCTTTTAAAAAATAGCAAACAGCAGACCAGCGTTTGTTCTGTTGTCAACAAGAGATTCCATAAATATTCCTTCTATCAACTCATCTGAGGTTATTAGTGGTTGGTTACAATTTCTATTTAATGTGATATTTTCTACACAGAACTTAAAAGTGACTGTCACCAGCCTTAGCATACTCCTCTTCAGGTTCTGAGCCATTTGTATAATCTGTTCTAACTGCTGACATCTGATCATCAGACAATTCTATCCTGGACAGATGAGGCAGTCTGGTACACCCATGTTTCAAGGACTATTCGCAATTTGTTGTGGTTTACACAATCAGAATCCTTTATACGATCAATAAAACAAATACAGACATTTTGGATCTTGAAAGCTGTGATTTTCCTGAATCTAGCCTGTGCATCTGACATTCTCATTCCAGGAATTGTCCGGATCGTAAAGTCTTGAGTATTATTTTAGCAGAAGTGTAATTGTTTAATAGTTTAAGCATTCTTTAAGACTGTCCTTTTTTGGTAATGGAATATAAACTTGATCTTTTCCAGTCCCTTGACTACTGCTGTGTTTTCCACAGCTGAATACACACTGTAAGTATCACTTTAACTGCATCACCTGGCAAAGTTTTAAATGATTAGATTAATCCAGCTGTTATGAGCAATCTTTTCTGGATTTTTTTAAAACTTCATTTTTCAGAATTCTGGTTCTAATTCAGTGTTTGTAACTTTGCATGCATCATCAAATGAGGGAGAACAACACTTTCATGCTTTTTTCATAGCTTCTTTCTCCAGTTGATCTTTGCCTTGTCTTTTATTTGCCTTATCTGTTTATTTATTGTGCTTGACTTCATCTCTATGCTTTTCTTAAATAATCTCTTGACCTTCACGTTTCACTGTCACCGTCAATGCAATTTCTTTGCATTGTTTATTTCAGTATAACTCCCTATTTTGCTTGCTCTTCTGTGGAATTTAGCATATGGCTGGACAATTATTCCTCCCTCTGTGTTGCCTTTTTCTTCACAGATTTCCAGCATGGCATCAGATTACCCATTTTATCTTGTTTAGCTTTCAGGAATATTTTATTTGCCTTAACTTTCAGAAATGTCAGTCCCAAGTTCCTCAGGCACCCTTAGCAAATGCAGTCCATTAAATCTGGTCTTTACTTTAAGTGTTTATTCTTGCATACTACTTTTCTTCAGTTACTTAGTCTAGATTTTTTTCAAAGCCATATAAACATTTATTTACTCTGTTAATGTAGACAGCTACCCTTAAAAAAAAAATGACTCAGAGCAACTAAACAAGAAACATGAAGTAAACCACCTGAAAAACATAACAAAACATTACATATTCCACCAAGGCAACAACCAAAACAATTATATCAGACTAGGAACACCCACTGCCCTGAAGGCCTCACGAAAGGCAGACAAAGTTGGGGTTCTTTGTATTCCAAGCAAAAAGGCTCCATGAAATTCAGCAGGAGTTACTTTGAATAGATCTGCTCAGGATTCCGCTGATATGCTGTAATGCTTCCTGAACATGAATGGGACATGAACATTCAGCTGAATATGAATAGGACAAACATTTTAAGGAATGAAATATGTCATCAAAAAGGAAGTAATTGCTATGCTCACCTGAAGGGCTTGTTCTGGCTGCGAGGGGAAGTGCTGGCACCGTCAATTGCAGAGTCTTTGCCTGCTATCTCCGGAATAGGCGAATCTTCAATGGGGGAGATGATGTTCTCCTAGAGAGAGAGAGAGGGGGGAGGGAGGGAGAAAGAGGAGGGGGGAGGGGGAAGGGGAGAGAGAGAGGGAGAGAGAAAGAGGAGGGGGAGGGGAGAGAGAGGGGGGGAGGGAGAAAGAGGAGGGGGAGGGAGAAGGGGAGAGAGAGAAAGAGGAGGGGGGAGGGGAGAGAGAGGGGGGAGGGAGAAAGAGGAGGGGAGAGAGAGAGAGAGGGAGAGAGAGAGAGGAGGGGAGAGAGAGGGGGGGGGAGAGATGGATTGAAAGGGAAGGACCAGGTCCTCCCCCAGAAAATCTGAGCCTGCCGAAGCTGAAGAAGCCAGCTGTTTTTTTTTTTATTATTATTCCTTACTTCTACAAGTGCTTGCAGAAGGCGCTGGGTGAGAGGCCCAAAAGGGCACCCATCCTCTGGCTGTTCATGCTGGGACTCCGATTTCTTCAGCAAAGCGTCAACATCTGGAGGGAATGAGGGAGCAAATGAGAACTAGGAAGGACAAGTCAATATCCGTTGCAAAAAATGTGGCACTTTGCAGTGAGCAGTTCTGGGATTCTCACCGTACTATTTAAAAAAAATGAAGAAAATTAAACCAACGCGTCAGAAGGGACTGGCTTTATTCTACATACTATGCTGATGTTAAGGAACCGACACAGCCGGTTCCAGTCTATAAACCTCTAATCTCAATCAGGCTTCATTTCAACATCCCTGACTGAGGAATTCTTGGAGTTGAAGTTAAAAGTTGCCAAGGTTGAGAAACACTGGTCTAGAGCTAATAAACACATAAAGCAGAGATAAAGCAATCTCTGATTTTTCCGTTTTTGCTAAATAATAGCTCCCAGAAGCAAAGAGCTAAAGTTAGCAATAGGGTTACCAATTTTTCGCCATTTTTCCTACACAGGTGGTCCTTGGTTAATTACTACTGGTTTAGCAAGTGTTTGAACTTAACAACGGCGCCAAATGGGTGGTTCTTATGATCAGTCTTTAAAGTTCCCAAAGTTGTAGTACTCCTGCAATTACATGATCATAAGCCAGGCACTCAGCAACCAGCCTGGATTTCCAACTGTTGCAGCATTCTGCAGTTACGTAGTCATGATCCGTGACCTTCCCTGACAGCTTTCCACAATCCAAGTCAATGCGGAAGCCTGCAGGAAACTGGAAGTCGTAGTTATGTAAGATCCTTGCTTAAGGACCATGCTGATTTGCTTAATGACAACTAGGAACTGCCAAGACTGCCACTGCTAAGTGGCATGGACATCTGACATCATAATTTATGACTGCATCACTTAACAAATGAAAATTCCACTCCTAATTACTGTTACTAAGTGAGGACTACCTGTAAAAGCATGGATTCTGCAACTAAACTAAACTAGAGCTCTCTAGAAAAATGGCATCTTTAGTCTCTTCCACTCTGGAAAAGATGTCATAGAATAGCTCAGGATACCCTTAGTGTCCAGTTCGGTCAGAGGTCCCAAGATGCCTTTCTTCTTATCCGCAGTAGCTGCAGCCCGAGCCCCATCCTTCTGCTCTTCCAGCAGGTCTTCCTGGGCCCAGCGCTGGGAGTAATGTTTTCCTAAGGGTGGGATCTATAAGGACAGAACAACAAGGCATGAATGAGAGCCAGCCCAGACACCAGAAAGGCAAATATCCCCAAACAATTCAACTGTGTCTCAATACGTGCATGTAGCCAAATGCTGTCCCTTTTTTCAGATCTAATTCTAACTGAGCTGCCTCCAATCAATTCAACTGTTCTTCCTCCCTTCCAAAATTTTCTATTTTAAATGATTATAGCACAATATTCTTATTCCCTCCTGGAGCTACGCAGTTTTACAGCTAAGGTGGGAGAATAAAACCCTTCATTCCCCATCATGGTTCAGAATGTCATTCCATTGTCTGTGTAGATCGAATTTCCTCAAGATAAGCCAGAGAAGATACTAAAAATAGATAGCTAAAATAAAATGGAAATGGGAAAACATGTTTTCTCCAGACAGGTAACCTCAAAGATCGGGGCCAAAAGAGTACCAAATGCATTTCTTTCTGCAGCAATTCCACTGTTGTAAACACGGATAAAATCTCAAGCTTTTCTGCCCTGCAACTTTCCCAGTCTTAGGCCCTCAGTTCCACTAAAGCAGGGGTAGGCAACCTTGGCTCTTTTATGACTGGTGGACTTCAACTCCCAGAATTCCTGAGCCAGCCATGCTGAGGGGAAAGGGAGAGCTTTCTAAGCAGAGCCATGCTGGCTCAGGAATTCTGGGAGTTGAAGTTCACGAGTCATAAATGAGCCAAGGTTGCCTACCCCCGCCCTAAAGGAACAAGCAGGGTTCCCTTTATCATTCCACAAAAGAGATTAAGAAGCACTGAGAGGAATGGAAGTGGGAGATAAAAGTTGGACAAGTGACTGTTCCAAATGTGCTTTTTCAAAAGGCAACTGGACTTTCTTTGTTTTTCCTTGGAAAAGGTTTTGTTTCCCATCCAAGAAGCTTCTTCAGTTCTGACTGAATGGTGGAGAATGGAAGGATTTATATTCCTTGCAGTCATCTGGTCGTTAGCACTCTCTCTGAGTGTCGAGGAGGCCACTTGGAGGTTTATCTGAGCCCTCAGGGTCGCCTGAATAGTGCAAATGGGCGTGGAACCTTTTTTGGAACTGCTGAAAGGATGGTAAACAGGAGATAGATGGTGTCATATCCCAACGCAATCCTTTCAGCAGTTCCAAAAAAGGTTCCACGCCCATTTGCACTATTCAGGCGACCCTGAGGGCTCAGATAAACCTCCAAGTGGCCTCATCGACACTCAGAGAGAGTGCTAACGACCAGATGACTGCAAGGAATATAAATCCTTCCATTCTCCACCATTCAGTCAGAACTGAAGAAGCTTCTTGGATGGGAAACAAAACCTTTTCCAAGGAAAAACAAAGAAAGTCCAGTTGCCTTTTGAAAAAGCACATTTGGGACAACTGTGACCTGGATGACTGAGAAGCTCCACAGACATATGGACAAGAGACTTTTCCTCTAGTTTTGTAACTGTGGGATTCTTAAAGGGAAAAGGTTGTTCCCTCCATCCAAATTTGGAAATGCTACTGTTTAAAATTCTTAGAAAAACCTATTGCTTGACAACAACTAAAAAGCTTTGACTCGCAGAAAATATGGGACAAATCACAGAAAATGCATATTTTAGCAATTACAATTGTCATGAACCTCTAGGTCAGAAATGGTGAATCTGTGGTGCTTCAAATATTGAACCGCAACACTTATTGTCTCTTACTTGGTCTTGCCAATTGGAACTGCCAAGTTGTAGTTTAGTAATATGCGAATAACTTGCTCAATATAGACTCCAAAGGCTTTTTAGTCCTATTGTTTTACCTGATACAGAATTTGTCTGAGATCCAAAGTAAGTACCATACAACAGTTTAACATCAGAAATATATGGAGAATTAAGACTCAATCCAAATGTAGGGCAGGTTGAATGAAATGCTTCTGCTTTTTTACCTTGTAGTGTTCAGCTTCATCTTCAGGTGGCTTGAGCAGGTCATCTAAGGTTCGAACTTCCTCATTGGTGAGGTCAGCACAGTATGGCTCCACTGAGGCCCAGAATCTATAAACACGAACAGTTAGGAAGGAAACAGAACCATAGTTTAGAAAGATTGCTTATAATAGGCAACATGACAGTCTAAGAGAGAGGTAGGCAACCTTGGGTCTTTTATGACTTGTGGACTTCAACTCTCAGAATTCCTGAGCCAGCCATGCTGAGGGGAAAGGGAGAGGTTTCCAAGCTGAGCCATGCTGGTTCAGGAATTTTGGGAGTTGAAGTCCACAAGTTATAAAAGAGCCAAGGTTGTCTACTCCTGATCTAGTCCAACCCCCCATTCAGGCAGAACACCCTATACCAGGGGTAGGCAACCTTGGCTCTTTTATGACTCGTGGACTTCTACTCCCAGAATTCCTGAGCCAGCCATGCTGAGGGGAAAGGGAGAGGTTTCCAAGCTGAGCCATGCTGGACCAGGAATTCTGGGAGTTGAAGTCCATGAGTCATGAAAAAGCCAAGGTTGCCTACCCCTGGTCTAAGATAACACATTAAAATCTGGATTACTAAGAAGCTAGAATCTTTCCTAGTCGGCACAAGCAGTACACAGCCTTTCCCAGCCAAGAGCCTTGGATTCAAGTCATATTGAGATTGGGGATTATGGGAATTGAAGAGTCACATGTGGAGCCCCCAGAGCACTTAGTCTAATAGTGCAGTCCGTGTAATGAGGGCCAATAAATAATATTATTAAGACAAAGGATGGCAAACTGGGGGGGGGGCGGTATGTTTAATGGCCCCATTTTTTTTTCTGCCACCCCTTTTGAATATAAGGCTGGAGGCTGCCCATTCCTGCTGTAACTATTTACTGAACTATGCACTTCTTCTTTCTTTGTGCTTCATAATGTTGATACTTATGGTGATAATGGATAAGATGACAGCAGTCACTTTCATATTACCTGTTGGGTGCATCATTTTTAGGAATACGGGGCACATCGATTGGATCATCTGAGAATTCATACTCTTGAATTTTAGGCTGCAGGTTCTTGGATTTGGGCCGTCCTGGAGTGCTGTGGCTTCCTTTCACATCTAGCTTCTGCTTCTTGAGCTTGCTATGTTTGATAGAAGGACCCACCTCATGGTCCTTGCCAATTTTCAGAAATCGTCTGTCTCCTTTCTTGTCCTGCCAGTCTGTCAAGATCTGATGAGAATAAAGAAAGAAAAAAAGGTAGATTAAAAGGTCATATAGCAAGGCACCTATATCTGTCTTGGAAAGAGGAATCAGCAAAGAGGTTTGTTAGCAGAACTGCTGCATTATGGAATTCTTACTAACATCAGAAGAGCCCTGATGGAACAGAACAATAGTTTGCCTATAATTCTGTGTTATGTGTTGTTGAGCCAATGCATATGGGATGCATGCTGCCAAACTAGGTAACATCATCAATACTAGACTAGACTAGCACTGATGATGTTAACCTAATTTGGTAATGGAACATCTGCAAGAAAACAACCAAGCTCAGAGGCATCAAGGACCCCACAGTTCAAAGCTGTTCTTTTCTGTCACCATTTGGGAAGCTAACTCCTCAGCTAACTGTGACACAAGATCCTCCAGCAGCAACATAAGGACACGATCCCCTGAGCCAGATGTGACTTTTATCTAAAGTCTACACAAGTTTAGCTTTTCTAAATAGTTTCTCAGATCACCTTAAACGCCATTTAGATAACAGACTTCACTATATTCTTGCTTTCTGAAAATGACTCGTCTTTCACAGATGTAAGGACTGTGTGTGATCAATTATACTTAAATAAAGCACAGTAACTGCAAGACTCAAGCTGGAGGGCCTTTCTATGAGGGCTCGATTACCATCTGACCTGGGTTTCAGTCTCCAGCACCCGAAGTCGGCGGCTTGCAGATGACAGCAATGTTTCAAGCTCTAACTGTAGCGTGTCAAGCTCTTCAATGCCAATACCATCATCTTCAGAACGGGCCAGTACTGCCGTATAGCGTGGGCACACTTTGAGATGGTCCACAGACTTGAAATCGTGGAATTGAAGGGGACAATCTTTCAGTTCAGACATGGTGTTGCTGGGCCTGGGAAAAGGAAAAAGAAAACATGACAGATGCAAGCATGCAAAGAGCGACATTAACAATTTGCAGAACTGATGAGGGAGTGACATTACGTTATTCTAACCCAAAAAATCTTACCCTACATAAATCCTGGAGACAGGTAGCTCTTCACTGCCAGGAATCTTGCTGAGGTGGAGTTATCATTGCAGGCACCGCTGAACTGGGAAGAATCCATAGAGTGGAAAACAAAAGTTATTTAAAAACGGCAACCAGAAAGGAAGGGCTGATACGTCAATGCAGGCTGACAAGGTAGCTACTGCAGACGGGATTATGGAAATGAACCACCTGCGGAAGGAAGGCGAAGATAAAAAAAAAGAAATTTGAGGGAATGCCCAGAACGATGTCCCAAGTAACGAAGACAGAGGGAACTGGAGCCTGAAGGTGCTTAGAAGAGGGCATAGGAAGCACTAAGAACTATGGACGGTGGAGAAACAAATGATGAATGAGGGGGGGAAACAAGCCAGGAGGGGGCGCTGGAGAAAGGCGGGGGGGGGAAATTATTGGGGGAGTTTCCGGTTCTAGAAGCTCCTTCCGGGTTACACCCATTCGGAGCTCGCCAGGAAGGGGAGAGGGGCGCCGCGTATCCCCCGGAGATGCAGAAGTCGGGCGCGAGAGAGACTCCCAGCCGCCATAGCGGCGAGAAGGAGGGTGAAGGGAAAAGGATCTCGCCCAAGTCTCCCACCAAATCTCTCTGCCCGGAGACTTCCGCCCCTTCCGCCTCAGCGGTCGAGCCTTGTCATTGGCCACACGCTCCCCTTCTTACTTCACCTTCATTGGCTACAAACCAACCCGCGAGGGCGCGGAGCCGTAGAACTCCTCGCTTTTTTACTTGCACTCTTTTGACCCCACCCAGGCCCTCGTCTCATTTCCAAATATGGAGGCAGGGAGGGCGGGTCATACCATACTCACCGAAAAATGGGGGGGGGAGAGAAAAATGGATTTGCCTCTGTTTCTATGTGAAGATATTTCGAACTCCCTCGCTGCCGTAATGGGAAAAAAAACCTTTATCCGCCGCCTGGCGTGTTAATACCTTAAAAAGAAATGAATTAGGGTTAGGATCCCGCGCACTCACCCGGGGGGAATGTGGTGGAATAGGCCAGCCAGTCCGGAAGCGGCGGTCTTGTTTGGTGGAGGCCACTTCCGCTTCCGTTTTCTGGACCAGGTCTCGGGGGTGCAGCCGCCGCTAGTCCCTTAGCTGCCATGGTGAGTGGGCGGTGGGCTTCGGAAGGATGCCGGCCCTGGGGGGGGGCAAAGGCGAGAGAGGACGGGGCAGAAGGCAAGGTGGGGGCGGGCAGGGAGAGCGGTGGAGTCCTGCATGGAAAAAGGACGCTGGGTTGGAGAGCGGGTCAGTAGCTTGGCAGGACAGGAGCGGAGGCGGAGAAGAGGCGAGGCGGCCAAACCCTTTCGGCGGAATCGGAACCCGGATCGCTGGGTCCTGCAGGGGATCCAAGGCGGCAAAACCTGGAAAGGATGCCCGCTTCTGTGGACGTCAGAGGGGGGGGCAGGCAGGCAGGCAGACTGCTGCTCGACGGGGGGGGGAGGGGGGAATTTCAAGGACTAGGCTTGAGGATCTCCCAACTTCCTGATACCTGCTTTTCCCCATTCCTTACTACAGACAGCCACTCTGCGCCCTTATCTCAATGCGGTGCGTGCCACCCTGCAGGCTGCCTTGTGCCTGGAGAACTTCTCCTCCCAGGTGGTGGAGCGGCACAACAAACCCGAGGTGGAAGTCAGGTTTGTGCGTGAAGGTTAAGTTGGAGACAGATGACGTTTTCTGTGTTTGATGCAGGGGACGTTGATTATGTGTCACCAAGTTCCTAGCAGCCGTATAGATTTTTCTCTATGACAATCGATTCTTATCCTGTGCTTTCATGTCTCTCAGTGGTGCACTCATTGCCCCTATAAACTGAATCCATCCGTCTTGCTGTTGGTCATCCTCTTCTTCTCTTTCCTTGCACCTTTCCCAGCGTTGCAGCCTTTTGCAGAGAGTTGGTCTTAACATAAGGTGCCCAAAAAGTTTTATCAGGCCTTGTCAGGCAGGTATAGCTTTCCCTTCCTTCAGAAATTGGATTTGGAAAAAGGCTTTTAAAATAAGAATATTTGTTCTAATTTATTAAAGTAGCAAAGGCAAACCTAAAGGACAGTTGACAGCAAAGCTATTTAAAGATGTTTTGATTTTATTTAAAGCTATTTGATAGATATTTAAGGCTACTAAAGATAAAGAATAGAATAGAGCTGGAAGGGACCTTGGAGGTCTTCTAATCCAGCCCCCTGCTCAAGCAGGAGAACCTATACCAGTGGTGGTGAACCTATGGCACGGTGTCGGAGGCAGCACTCAGAGCCTTCTCTGTGGGCACGCGTGCTGTCGCCCCAGCCCTGCCTCCCCCCACGCCCCCTCCTCCCCAACGGCCCCCCTGGAGGAAAGTCGCGCCCGGGCACTGCCCGCACAGGGCAGCGCATCCAAGGACATGGCAGCCGGGCAGTGGGGACAAAACTCCACCCTCGTGCCCCGTCTCGTGCAGTTGATGCTGCGGGGTGCAGGCAGAGGGTGTAGCCGCCATGGCGCTGCTGGGTCGCCTGGGCGATCTGCGGCTGGCCGTGGAGTTGGTGAGTGGCCCTGCAGGTGGGTGGGGGCAGAGCAGGGGTAGGGCAGGTGGGGACGGAGTGGGTGGGACCAGGGACGGGGGTGGGGGCGGTTTTGGGGCACTCAGTCTCTAAAAGGTTTGCCATCACTGACCTATACCATCTCAGACAAGTGACTGTCCAGTCTCTTCTTAAAAACCTCCAGTGATGGAGCGCTCACGATTTCTGAAGGCAAGCTGTGCCACTGGTTAATTGTCCTCACTGTTAGGAACTTTCTCCTTAATTTCAGGTTGCTTCTGTCTTTGATCAGTTGAAAAGTAGCTTAGTCTAATAGTTAAGTCACCAGGCTAGAAACCAAGAGACTGTGAGTTCTAGCTCCACCTTAGGCATGATAGCTGGCTGGGTGACTTTGGATCAGTTACACTCTCTCAACCTAACCCACATCACAGGGTTGTTGTGGTGGGGAAAAATGGAGGAGTATTGGGCATGTTGGCTGCCCTGAGTTATTTAAAAAGATAGGATATAAATGTATAGATAGTAGATGGACAGAAATTTGATGGCATGCAAAATTGTGAAAACAGCACGGAGGTGTCAAAATGAACAACATGTCCTATAAATTGTCATGAAACCAGAAAAGGAATATTCAGTTAATTTGTTGCACTAAGTTTTTAGTGAAAAGAATCCGTGCACATCTTTCACTTCTGTTTTCTTATCCTACACTTTCTGAGGTTTTCCATAGTATTGTATCACACAATCATATCAAAAAAAAATGCTTCTGGAAATTTTAAAAAGCTTTTTATTCAATCTTTTGAGCTTTAGAGTCAGTTGGTTCACCAATAAAGTTGTAATATTTTGCTTCTGTTTATGGTCTGTTTCATTTTATGGTTGCAATAGCTTTCAACCTAATGTTCCTGGTTTATATATTCTTATATATTATACTGTTATGTTATGATACTGCCTCATACCACTACTTAATTCCAAATTTGTGATTCTTAAATAGACCTTTAGCTCCTGTGCAGCCACAGGTCATGAATGGCTGCTGCTGGTGTAAAATGGCTTATAAGCTTCCACATTTCCTTCCCACCTTCCTCAGCGTTGCCTTTATTTCTTTTTGCAAGTACTGTATGATTCTTTATGCATTACTTGGCAACTTAAAAAAAATACACTGAACTCTTATTACAATTTCCTCAGCTCTGTCTTGCCTTTTCCTACATTGAATTGATGGATTCTGGTGTGTTATGTTTTAATAGATATAACGGTATTTTATGTGACATAAAAATCTACATCCATCTGATGAAGTCTAATCTACATGCATCACATGATAAGTCTAGTGAATATTGGATTCACTAGTTTCTCCTGCAATAAGTTCAGCTAACAAATTATGGACTGTACCATTTATGGGTTGTTTCCATTTTGGTTTGACACACATTAATTTATTAGATATCTAGATAACTAAAATGTATCTGAGGTGGTTTTCAAATTTCAAACATTGTGCCATACGATACAGTGATGGTTATCAATATATTCACGAGTGTTGTAGACCAAGTTTCAAATATGAATTGCTATAGAACGCAAGAGTGTTAGGGATTCATTTTTTTGCTTGGGGGTGGCCTCAGTAGAAATAATATACCGCATGGCTCTCATCTTTCAGAACTTTTATATTCTTAAGTTGACAAAAAAGAGAGAAATATAAGAAGGAATCAGTGTAAAAAAAATCCTCTTGTATAAATCTAGAGTATTCTTGCTGCTTTGTTGTTGGATCTGAAGTGATATACCGTATGTGCTGCAGAAACAAGTTTTCTTTTACTAGCTCAATCTCCATTCCGTCCCATCCCCATACTTTATTGTACTTAATGTCTTGAAGTAATAATAATAATAATAATAATAATAATAATAATAATAATAATAATGTTGGAAGGGACCTTGGAGGTCATCTAGTCCAACCCCCTGCTCAGGCAGGAAACCCTATACCATTTCAGACAAATGGCTGTCCAGTCTCTTCTTAAAAACTTCCAGTGTTGGAGCATTCACCGCTTCTGGAGGCAGGCTGTTCCACTGGTTAATTGTTCTAACTGTCAGGAAGTTTCTCCTTAGTTCTTAAGTTGCTTCTCTCCCTGGTTAGTTTCCGTCTGTTGCTTCTTGTCCTGCCTTCAGGCGCTTTGGATCATATTGCTGTCTGGGTCCACCTTGCTTACATTTGTTGCAAGGTGTATTTCCTTTCAACAATCATTTGAGGCCTTTTAGCCCTGCCCAACCCAACCCTGACCCTAATCCCTCCCCAATTAGCATAAAACAGTTGCTCTGTGTTGGTTCCTAGCCAGTCCTAGCCATTCTGGGACTCCATAGATTTCACCTACAGACTGTTCCTCAAAACAATCTTGTAACATCTCTTTTCCGGCATATACAGTATACTAGTTATAAACTATTAAGAAAAAGAGTACAGTGAAAAAGACCTATAGCCTTTTCAACCTTTTCACCCATTGTATCACTTTTAGGCTATGGCAACATCCAAGTACCACCAGTCGCCTTGCAAGGTGTCAAAAACTTGATGACCCCCTCCCCCCAAAAAAACTTGGAAAAAAGTGATAAAGTACAGGTAGTCCTCGACTTAAAACAGTTCACTTAGTGACTGTTCGAAGTTACAATGGCACTGAAAAAAGTGCCCCCCAAGCCACAGCCGAGCAAGACACCTGCCTGCCCACCCGGCAGCCCTCTTCCTCCTGTCCGAGGTTTTCATTGTTGTGAGCATTTCTGTTGGGGGTGGGGTGGGGGGGTGTTTGTTTTTTATTCTCTCTCCCCCCCTCCCCCGTCTGCTGAGTGGTTGTCATAGGTTTTGATCACTTCATATGACCCTGGGACACTGTGACCGTCATAAATATGAATCAGTTGCCAAGCATCTGAATGTAAATCACAAGACCCTGGAGATGCTGCAACATTCCAGCTGATTGGTGCTTCTTCTAGACTCAGTAGAAGCACCAGGATCAGCACTGAGCTCCAGCTGGAGCCTGGGGCTGATCCTGGTGCTTCCACTGAGCCCTGACAGCCCCGAAGAAGTGCCGATCAGCTGGAAAGCGGCACTGATCCTGGCGCTTCCGCTGAGCCCTGACAGCCCTGCAGCTCCAGCCATCTCTCGCTCAGGCTTCTGCGGTGCTGCCACTGGTTCAGCTCATTCCCCTCCCCTGCTACTTTTCTAGGATAGTCGCGTACCACCTGCCAGGTGCCAATGTACCACAGGTGGTACCCGTACCACTGTTTGAAGAGCTCTGGCCTATAGTTCAGTGGGCAAAGCCCTTCTTTAAAAAAAACAAATTGCTGAATGGAGCAATGGCCTGATGGATGAGAGCAGTGGATCCCTGGAGGTCCACGATGTCATCAGACAGGGCCGTCCAAGGCTTGAAGAAATGTTATTTATTTTATTTATGAGACTTATATACCGCTTTAAGTGCAAGCACTCTCTAAGCGGTGTATAAGCAATGTAAGCAATGTATATATGTGATTCAAATCTTAGGTCTTGGGGGTCCGTGGTCATAATCATTGGCCATAAAGGGTATTTAAATGGAATCTGTAATGAAGAAAAGGTTGAGAACCACTGGATAAGAGCATTATTTTTTATGATTCATTATTTTCCTCAGTCTTTTTGAGACTCGGTTCATAAAGATAATTTAGGCATCTGGTTAACTATATGTCTGTTGCAATAGTTTTCTGTAGAATTTTGTTAATTACTGCTATATACACAGATAAATTTTGTTTTCATCAATTTTAGTTTGTTGGTGGAAGTTTTCATTAAATTCTCTGCTTTTCCCAAGATCTCCTTTGGCTTTTGCCAATTTTCTTTCCATAGCTATTTCTGTGGCCTTGTTTGATAGCCAGTCTTGTTTCTTTCCTTCTGGCTCTTGTTATATGTTTCCTACTTTAATCACTTTACAATCACTTTAAATTCTTATCTCAATTCTTCATATTCTCTGTATATAGATCCAGGTCTTTAAATCGGTTTCTAGTCTGAATGGGTTCTAAATTATATTTCATTAGGATTTTATCTTTTCTAGTGTTTTCCCATCTGATATATACACCTATTAATAGGTCATGGTCTGATCCATGGTCAGCATCTGGAGTGTTTTTAAATTCAGTCTAGAGCGTTTCTTCCTATTGCTATGTAAGATGTTGTATATTTGATTGTGGAGTTATTTATTTGGAGCTGTCCAGGTATAAAGCCATCTTTTCTGTTGCTGAAATAATGTGTTAAGCAACCCGCAGCCCATTTTACCCACAGCAGCCCATCAGCCATTGTTCTGCATCATTGTTGATTCTTGGTGTAATTTTCCAATCATTTTCATCACAAGAAGCACATTTCACGATCGTGGGCTTGGAAATATAATGAGTGGGGTGATGACTGGTTATGAGGGCATATTAGAATATACCCAGAGGCTGGAATGTATGGGCCTCTGTATTGCCCAGTCTCTGATGTAAAAATGTCTTTGTGGGTTTGCAGAAGCAGCAAAGAACTCCTCTTGCAGCCTGTGATCATTAGCAGGAATGAGAAGGAGAAAGTCTTAATTGAAGGTTCTATCAACTCTGTGCGAGTTAGCATTGCTGTGAAACAGGTAAGCCACACGTGTTACAGGTGAGGTACTTAAACTGGAGCTCATCCTGGAGAGAATGTTCACGGGTTCCTATTTTCCTTTGGCAGGCTGATGAGATTGAGAAAATTCTGTGTCACAAATTTATGCGGTTCATGATGATGAGAGCAGAAAATTTCTTCATTTTACGTCGGAAACCAGTTGAGGTGGGAAATATGGAGTCACTGTTGTCTTAACTGTGTGATTCTGTCTGTTGACAGTAGTGGTAGTACCAATGTGTACCGGGTTACTTCACATCTTAAGCTTTCCAGCAGGCATAAAATTTCAATGTGCCTCTTATCTTTAAGGCAGATTTAAATCAATAACAATAACAATCTCTTTTCACAAAATCAAGTAACATGACTTTATTGGACTGTTTTTATCTTTGATTTGGTCTGTTTAACCATGGATGAATTGTGTGAGACTTGGTTTTTCTGCTAGCTGTCAAGATAATGTCTATTTTTTTTATACATATACTTGGAAAAACTAGATTGAGGCTGAATACGAGTAACTAACTAAACTAAATAAGTATCTGCATAATTGGTAATGTTCTCTTATCATTGTATAGAGTATTTTTTCTGTTCCCTTGAATCTTTTTCAACTGTTGGACTTACTATGTAGGTAGCATAGACCAATTTTGAATATTAATATGGCAGAACTTCTTATGCACAGTATAGATCCCAATCAATCCTCCCCCAAAAAACCCTTTAGATTATTTTTGTCTTATGCTGAATCAATAGTCAACAGTATAGAAAAAACGATGGCTGAGTCTTGGCTTCACTTATGCTAATAAATTGCAATATGGTTTTTTTTTTTTTAGGGCTACGACATCAGCTTCTTGATCACAAATTTCCATACAGAGCAGATGTACAAGCACAAGCTGGTGGACTTTGTCATTCATTTTATGGAGGAAATTGACAAAGAAGTCAGTGAAATGAAGCTGTCGGTCAATGCTAGGGCCCGCATTGTGGCAGAAGAGTTCCTTAAAAATGTAAGGGCTTATTTAGACATCTTATAGGAAAAATATCAAAACAGCGCGTCAAAAGTCACCAGTCTCTTCTGGATATTTATTAGGCAGGGCTTATTAGAATTATTGAAATGGGAAATATGGGAGTTGTGGCCTTTTAAAACCTTTAGAATTAAGAAGGCCTTTACTTCAAATGTTATCTGTGAGCTTGGGAGTCCTAATTTCAAATCCCTCATCATTTATCACACAGCCTGAAATGAATATTTTTGTGTATGATTTTCCATCAGGAGTTATTTATTACAGGATGAAAAAGTAGTGTTGTATAAATGAGTTAGAATTTGTGGCTCGTTGTAGAAAAGAGCTCTAGTGTGAATCAAATTGCCTCTTGTAGAACGCTATGAATGTCGTGAAGTGCTATGAACACTAAATGCTTCGGGGGAGGACAATAAATCGGGAGGCGTATTTTATTCCATTACAACATTCAGAGCAATTTGAGTCTTGCTCATAAGGTAGTTATTTTCAAACTGCATTCTGCAAACCCCAGGGTCCTATGAGAACTTGATGGAGAGACTGAAGACAACAGAGAAGATTTGTTCAAATACAGGGCACCCATAGTTATTTTTCTTACATACTGTAACAGGCAAAAGGAGTAACCTTGAGAAACGGGAGGAAGGGCTGTTGCCAAGACAACAGTCAGACAATAGGATCCCGAGTCTGCAAAAAAACTATAACTTGAGAAAATGTCTCAAACAAAACCCACCCTAGTTCTCACAAGGCAGAAGAAAGGAGGAGAGAAGGGCAGATCTGTAAGGTTCCGTTACTATAATCTTATTGGCCTGCATGACTTTGGTTTCCTAGATTGGTGTGTCCTGAATGTCTGACACAGGCAAGTAGTTCTCCACTTATGACCGGTTGTTTAACAACGGATCCAAAAAAAGGGACTTATAACCTAGTTTGGGCCACCTAATGAGAAGGAAGGACTCACTGGAGAAGAGCCTAATGCTGGGAAAGATTGAGGGCAATAGAAGAAGGGGATGACAGAGAATGAAGTGGCTGGATGGAATCACTGAAGCAGTAGGCGTGAGCTTCAATGGACTCCAGAAGATGGTAGAGGACAGGAAGGCCTGGAGGAATGTTGTCCATGGGGTCGCGATGGGTCGGACACGACTTCACAACTAACAACAACAACCTAGTTTTGAAGTTCTGATGTTTGGATCCCTCCGCAGTCAAGTGGTCAAACCTCTGACGCTGGGCAACACAGCCGCAGCTACGGCCATTTTCAGCTTCCTGGTGTCATGTGACCATGTTTTAGGACAGTCTTGCTGAATACTAGCCCTTCTGGTTTTGAGCAAAACTACACCAATATGCAAACCGTTGGTCCACTTAACAACGGCGGCGATTATTTAACACCCACAGTAATTCATTTAAAGACTGCCGCAAAAAGGGTCCTGTGGCTGAGCTATTAAATGACCCTTAAGACATACAACTATAATGGACAGGCCCCATTATGGCTGTCCGTTGAGAACTTCCTGTACTATGGAAAGGGTAGGCCTTGTTCTCCCATGAAGAGACACCATTTTGTGGATTGCGGGTCAAGCATTTATTTTTGGAACAAACGGGTTTTGCAGTACAGAAAAGTTTGAAAACCCCTGCTCTAGGACAGGGCTCTCCAACCTTGGCAACTTTAAGACTTGTGGACTTCAACTCCCAGAATTCCTCAGCCAGCCCTGAGGGCTGGCTGAGGAATTCTGGGAGTTGAAGTCCACAAGTCTTAAAGTTGCTGGCTGAGGAATTCTGGGAGTTGAAGTCCACAAGTCTTAAAGTTGCCAAGGTTGGGGACCTCTGCGAGTACTGTCCTAAAAACTGCAATGATTATGCTGTTGGTGCGCGCGCGCGTGAGTGTGTGTGAAGACATTGATGGTATTTGCTTTGGTTAATTTGAACTGCATGAGTAGCATTAATACAATTTCGAATTAATCGATTTCTTTTTGTTCCCCTCCCAGTTCTAGACCCAGGGCTGGACTCCACAGCTTTGCTTTCTCATTCTCTCTGCCCGGCTCCCTTAGGAGAGGCTACAGAGAGGCCACAGCCCAGGAGTGAAATGAGAAGCGGCCAGATCTGCCAGGGCTGCCCTAGCTGTCCAGCGTTCTCGCCATCGTGCCCGGGGTCGGGAGGAGGGGAGGGGAGGGAGGGTGCTTTTTAATATTTTTGAAACAAAACTGTGCTTGTACAAGATTGTGTTGACTCGATATTCTTTTCTTTTTCTTTTTTTTTTTAAATACATGATCCCTTGCTGTAATTTGTCTCCCTGAAAAAAAATGTACCAGTGGAGAAGGTGGGATTGGTTGCTCTAGCAACCCTCTGTAGAAGTTGCTAAGGGACTTCCAGTTCGGTTCAGCGATGTGCATACAAAGATTGCCTGCAGTCGCTGACAAAACAAAAAACAAAAATAAAAAATCTTGCCATTTTCTGTACTGCGGGGGGATCAGAAGAAGGAGAGAGAGAGAGACAGACAGACATGGACCATTTGTGTCATTTGATGAATCGATGGCCAGTCTTGGAGCCTTTTGGGCAGAGGTGATTACTGGATTACCTTGGTCCCTCTTCCTAGTGATGCGTAAGGGTCATGATTGCAGGCAAGGTGGGTGTTGTAAACGGCAACCCTTTTGTGCCAAGTCACTCCATAAACTGGAGAAAGTGCTCTTCCCCATCCGTCTTCCCCATCCCCATAGGAATCACAGCATTCTGAACACTGCACCTGCCTCCTTAATTCTACCCTGGGTTTCCCTTTCCATACCTGTGCCAGAAGGAACTGTGGGGGGGAGGGGAGGGGGCCAGGTCAGGCATCAGCTGAATGGGACGGAGCTGGAATCTGTAACTCTCATTTCTTTTTGCTATGGCACTTGCTGTATCTTTCTTACTTTAATCTATTAAAGCCTTTTTGTCTTTGCCTCCTGAAGTAAAGGATTCTTGTCTAGCTTTACTGGGGCTTCTTAAGCATCTCCATCTTGCCCCAAAGGTGCTTTTCCAAAAGGCAACTAAAACTTTGTGGGTTTTTTCTTCTTCTCTGAAGACGTTTTACTTCTCATCCAAGAAGCTCCTTCGGTTCTGTGAGTTAGAACTGAAGAAGCTTCTTGGATGAGAAATGAGGCCAAAGCATATAAGGAAAGGCTGCTGGAATTGGATATGTCTAGTTCAGTGGTTCTCAACCTTTTTAATGCCATGACCCCCAACCGGTCGTAAGTCGAGGACTACTCAACTGGTTCAGCACCGTTCGCAGAATGGGACTTTTGGCGGGCTCAGCAGGGCAGGGACAGCCTGGACAATTCCTATTGGCTTTTGAAAGCCAATAGAATTAGATTCTATTCAAGAGAGTCTATTCTATTGGCTTTCAAAAGCCAATAGAATAAAAGGGAGTAGCACAGCTAAGGAAAAGGGGGGAAAAATGGCGGACTGCGTTTGGCGACCCTCGTGAAATGGTCGTTCGACCCCAAATGGGGTCCCGACCCACAGGTTGAGAACCACTGGTCTAGTTTAATGAAGAGAAGGACGAGGGGGGGGGACATGATAACAGTGTTCCAATATCTCAGGAGCTGCCCCAAAGAAGAGGGAGTCAAGCTATTCTCCAAAGCGCCTGAAGGCAGGACAAGAAGCAAAGGATGGAAACTAATCAAGGAGAGAAGCAACCTAGAACTAAGGAGAAACTTCCTGGCAGAACAATTAACCAGTGGAACAATCTGCCTCCAGAAGTGGTGAATGCTCCAACACTGGAAGTCGCTAAGAAGAGATTGGACAGTCATTTGTCCGAAATGGTATAGGGTTTTCTGCCTGAGCAGGGGGTTGGACTAGATGACCTCCAAGGTCCCTTCCAACTTATTATTGATCATCACACAGTCAGCCAGATGTTCAGACTGGATTTGGCATTTTGTCTACCTATCAAGTCCTTATCCAGGACCTGCGATAGGCAGATGTGGATGTTTGATGGTATTACAGATATCGTCGCAAGATGGAAGCAGTTCCTAGTAAGGCCGGCTTTTGCAATTGACTAATAGCGAATTTGTCAATGCCAATGGTGTTCAAGTGGTGCTCCAGTTGTTTTGGGATTGCACCCAAGGCGCCTATTATTATTATTATTATTATTATTAAAAACTAAGCCCAGTTGCCTTTTGGAAAAAGCACTTTTGAGACAACCCATGACCTGGATGGCTGAGAATCTCCATGGAGTTTTCCATCTTGATAGGCTGGCTGGGAAGGGTTTTGAATTTCTAGTTGCATCACAATGACCCAATAGGCCACAAAGGGAGGAATGCAAAGTTATGTTGGCATTTTTGTAACTTATTCTTTTTGCCTTGCTCAAAGAAAACAAATCAATTCTATAGACTTTTTCACTGTTAATACATTTGTTTAGTTTTCTCTTCCTGCCGGCTTGCAGTGATATTTTGTGGTATGATTTCAAAAGTATAATACCTGTTGTTGGCATTTAAATAGTTTTAAACAATGAAATAACTTAAGTCATTAGTGAAGCTCTGAGTAACAAGTACATTCAAACATCTTTGGCTCTATACACCACACAATGGAGTTGGAATGAAACAAACACAATGTGCTTTAACTGCAGACTGTCAGCTTTAATTTGAGGGTATGTACATCCAACTCAGGTGAACGGGTAGGACTTACAGCAGTTTGCATATGTGCCTCCCACTTGTTAAGGGACCAAAGGTAATGGGACAATTGGCTTCTCAGCTGTTCCATGGCCAGGTGTGTGATATTCCCTCATTACCCCAATTACAATGTGCAGATAAAAGGCCCAGAGTTCATTTCAAGTGTGCTATTTGCATTTGGAATCTGTTGCTGTCAACTCTCAAGATGAGATCCAAAGAGCTGTCACTATCAGTAAAGCAAGCCATCATTAGGCTGAAGAAACAAAACAAACCCATCAGAGAGATAGCAAGAACATTAGGTCTGGCCAAAACAACTGTTTGGAACATTCTCAAAAACAAGGAACGCACTGGTGAGCTCAGCAACACCAAAAGACCCGGGAGATGATGAAAAACAGCTGTGGTGGATGACCAAAGAATTCTTTCCCTGGTGAAGAAAACACCCTTCACAACAGTTGGCCAGATCAAGAACACTCTCCAGGAGGTAGGTGTATGTGTGTCAAAGTCAACAATCAAGAGAAGACTTCACCAGAATGAATACAGAGGCTTCATCACAAGATGTAAACCATTGGTGAGCCTCAAAGACAGGAAGGCCAGATTAGAGTTTGCCAAACAACATCTAACAAAGCCTTCACAGTTCTGGAACAAGATCCTATGGACAGATGAGACCAAGATCAACTTGTACCAGAGTGATGGGAAGAGAAGAGTATGGAGAAGGAAAGGAACTGCTCATGATCCTAAGCATACCACCTCATCAGTGAAGCGTGGTGGTAGTGTCATGATGTGGGCATGTATGGCTGCCAATGGAACTGGTTCTCTTGTATTTATTGATGATGTGACTGCTGACAAAAGCAGCAGGATGAATTCTGAAGTGTTTCGGGCAATATTATTTGCTCACATTCAGCCAAATGCTGCAGAACTCATTGGACAGCACTTCACAGTGCAGATGGACAATGACCCAAAGCATACTGCAAAAGCAACCAAAGAGTTTGTGAAGGGACAGAAGTGGAGTGTTATGCAATGGCCAAGTCAATCACCTGACCTGAATCCCATTGAGCATGCATTTCACTTGCTGAAGATAAAACTGAAGGGAAAATGCCCCCAAAACAAGCAGGAACTGAAGACAGTTGCAGTAGAGGCCTGGCAGAGCATCACCAGGGATGAAACCCAGCGTCTGGTGATGTCTATGTGTTCCAGACTTCAGGCTGTGATTGACTGCAGAAGATTTGCAACCAAGTATTAAGAAGGGAAAGTTTGATTTATGATTATTATTCTGTCCCATTACCTTTGGTCCCTTAACAAGTGGGAGGCACATATGCAAACTGCTGTAAGTCCTACCCCGTTCACCTGAGTGGGATGTACATACCCAAGCTGACAGTCTGCAGTTAAAGCACATTGTGTTTGTTTCATTCCAACTACATTGTGGTGGTGTATAGAGCCAAAGATGTTCGAATTGTGTCGATGTCCCAGTATTTCTGGACCTGACTGTAGTTGATCCCTTCCTCGCCTCAAAAGATACAAATAAAAATCAACAACCTTCAAACTTTTCTCTCCAGCACTATTCCCCCCCCCCAAAGGCCTCTGTTGTCTTGTCAAATTATAAAATGAATGGGTTTAAACCAGGGGGGTCAAACTGTCGGCCCATGGGCCAGATGCATCATAGTGAAACCACACCCACCTCATTGCCTGCGATGGCAAAAAAGTCACAATATGTCGCAACACGTCACGTGATGTTGCAAGTTTGACACCCCTGGTTTAAACTATTCCCTTTCTTTACATAAAAAATGACCTTGATAATTCCTCAGTTCAACTGCTATTGCAGTTTAGAAACAAATACATTGCTATCAGTAAAAAGTGAGGGTTATTTTGATCTGATGCACTGCTGGCAAAATTCATGCATTCATATTACATGTGTGTATGTATTTTATTTTCTATCTTCTAAAACAGGAGGAGGAAATTTACTCCAAACTTCTATGGGTCCTAGCAGGCTTGGCCAATTGTGAGGAATTCTAGGAATTGCCAGCAACATTTATGCAATTACAGGTTCTCCACCCATGGTCTAGATCAGAGGTGGGAAACAATGGCCGTTTTATGACTTGTGGACTTCAACTCTCAGAATTCCTGAGCCAGCATGGCTGGGTCAGGAATTCTGGGAATTGAAATCCACAAGTCATGAAAGGGCCATCATTCCCCACCCCTGGTCTAGATCATTGAATGTCATATTTACAACTTGTTGCCATCAGAATTACACATAAGGCCTCTTACTTCGTGTTTCTTACAATCTTATTGGGTGGCTGGCTAAATATAATACCTCACGGCTGAAGTATGCCCAGTTTACAATACTCAGCTGGATCTGGTTCCAGTAGGTCTCACCATAAACAGTGCCCACTCTAGCACTCTAGTATCTTCTATAAATTCACGGATGATAGCACCAAGATAAAAGGCATTATTCCTGTTTTTTGAAATAAAGAGTAGCAGACGTCACCTTCTCAGTTTTGGATTAATGATTCGGAAAGCAGAAGCACGGGAGAAAGAAATAAAGAAGTTTGGCCCATAAAATGGTTCTGGTGTCTTCTGATGTCATAGCTAAGGTATCTTAAACACTCTAAGTTCCATGCAGTTGACTCAACAATACCTTTCATCCTCTTTAAAGGTAGGCCTCAAAGCTTAGGGGGCTTGTTTGCTAATGAGCCATAAACAGTCTCACAGTGTCCCATTTGAGCTGCGTAGGCTCCTAACATTCTTTTGGGATTGCTTAGCTTTGATCACAATTCAAGACGTGAAATGATCCATCCAAGCTAGCAGGATAACTGGATGAGCAGCATGCTAGGGAAATGCTAGCAAGCTCATTCTTGGGATGTTAATGTTTTAAAATACTACCCTCATGAAGCAAGAGAACTACTTACAGCGGCATCCAATCAACAAAGGAACTTGGTTAGTGTGAAAAATTTCATAATTTACCATAAAAGCTTGCAGAATATCAGTTTTTTTAAAATAATCTATACACACACACACACACACAAACAAACAAACAAATGGAGGAGGTGAACTTCTTGGTCCTTCTGTAATAGAATGCAGCTAATGAGAAGACTCTTTTTCCTAGCTGGTACTCAACTAGACTGATGGATTTCCATCGTAGTTTGTTAAGATCTCTGTCTCTACTTAGGAACTATCTACCTCAGTGGTGGCGAGCCTATGGCATGTGTGCCAGAGGCGGCATTTGGGGCCCTCTGTGGGCATATGTGCCGTTGCCCCAGCCTCGCCTTCCCCCACAACCCCTTCCTCACCAGCAGCCCCCCTGGAGGAGAGTGGCCCCCGAGTGTGGCCCACACGGAGTAGCGCAGCTAAGGACATGGCAGCCAGGCAGCGTAGATAAGACTCTGTCCTCACACCCCATCCCGCACAGTTGATGCTGCGGGGCACGGGCAGAGGGCATGGCCGCCATGGTTCTGCTGGGCTGCCTGGGTGATCTGTGGCAGGTCCTGGAGGCAATGAGTGAACCTGCAGGCAGGTGGGGTGGGGGCGGGGCAGGGGGTGGAGCAGGGGCGGGGCCAATTTTGGGGCACTCAATCTCTAAAACAGACATGTCAAACACAAGGCCTGCAGGGCCTGCAGTCAAATAGCATTCATTCAGACTAAAGGAATCAGGACATTCAGCCTCCTGAAAAAAGATTTCTTCCCCAACTCAATACAGACCAATGGATGTGATTTTAAGGTCTGAGAATGTCCCACCACCTCAAAAAAAAAAAAAAAAAAAAAAGTTTCTCTGCGGAAAACAAATGTGTTATGGCAGACATGTCAAACACAAGGCCCGGGGGCTGGATGTGGCCCGCGAAGTGGTTTCATGTGGCCCACGAAGCCATCCTGGAAACAGTGAGGGAAGGGCCCCTGCTGCCTTGGCCCTGGCCCAGGCCAGGAGCCAATGTACAATTTTGTGATGGCCATCTATGCTGAAACGCATTCAGTCTTAGCTCCACAAGGCCGTCTAGAAACAGTGAGGAACCAGCCCCTGCTGTGTCGCCCCCGCCCCCTGGGTGCATGCTGGGGAGTGTTACCCTTTGTGAGGAAAGAAGAAATGGACCATGCCTTGGTGCTTGCCCCGGTCCCACCCCCTTCTGCCAGAGACCCTCAGATCTGTCCCACTCCTGCCCAGGCCCCCACAGGCACCCTTGATGCAAACGATGTTGAGCTGGCCATGCCCACCCAGTAAGCCACACCTACTCCATCCACGCCCACTCAGTAGGCCACACCCACCCTGGCCACACCCACCCTCAGGGCATCAGCAATGCTGATGCAGCCCTCAGTGAAATTGAGTTTGACACCCCTGCTCTAAAAGGTTCGCCATCACTGATCTATCTGATGTGGGAGGCTCTCCAATGACACAAAATCAAGCCTACTCAGCCATCTTTTCACCTTGTCCCCTGCATCCACACCTTGGCACATCTCCACATTTTAGTTTTACTTCCTCCACGTCTCCTTCAAGGCATGTCCAGCTGTTTTCAGTGTCCTCGCAGCATCCTCTCGCCAGACATGTGGTCACACAGAATGGGTCTGCTCTCCACCTTTTGTCCCAAAGATGCTTTTTCAAGAGGAAACTGGACTTTCTTTGTTATACTTTGAAGACGTTTCGCTTCTCATCCAAGAAGCTGAAGAAGTTGCCTCTTGAAAAAGCACCTTTGGGACAACCACGACCTGGATGACTGGAAATCTCCATAGACACTCTCCACCTTTCCTTTCCTCCCCCCCCCCCCACACGCCACATTTAACCCAAATACGATATAAAAGATCAACCAACAAAAGGGGCGGGCAGGAGGCGGGAAGTGCCTGCGTGAGGAAAGGCAGGACCCTTTTAAAAGGGGCTTCCCTCGTTTTCTAAGGTGCGATTGATTGATCTGTAAGGCGTAAATGGTGTCAAAAGAGGGGCAGGGCCTTTTTCGGGGGGTGTTTGAGAGCTCCTGGTCATGAAATGTGCTTTTTCCTCAAATCTCTTCGTGAGTTTCCACCGGAATGCATAAGCCGTTCTGCCCAACCGCGATCCTAATTAAAAACATCAATTAAAATGGGGAGAGGGCAAAGTAAGCCTCCCCGCCCAGCGCCATCTACCCGGGCGCTCTGGTTTCCATAGAAACTCCAAACAGCCTCCTGGGAGTTGTCTGTGGGGAAGGAGCTGTCCGGACCCGGATCGGCGGGAAAGGGAGAGTCAGCCTCGGAATCTCGTCCCGGTTCGTATTGCAGATCTCCAGCCCTGGGAGGTGGATGTGGGAAGGCAACGAAGCGCACGACGCTGGGGAAGGACCTGAGACGCAGTGTCGGGACACTTTTGGAAAGGCAGAAGGTCCCAACTTACAGATCTGTCTCTGCCGCCCCCCTTCTCTCCATCTGCCCTTTGGCGGCTGCATGGCGAGAGAAGTGCTCTTTGCACATGCTCAGAGGCTCTCTTCCCGTCTGTCATAAATGCAAAGGGGCTGGGGTTTGAATCCTGGTTCCAAGCCGTGGTTTCCTGCACGAGAGGAATTGGGCATTAGTAGGAATGCGGTGCCTTATTGTTATGGGTATACTGTGGGCGGTGGGCGGCGGGTAAAATTCCCAGCTATGGAAATGGTTTCAGTTTTGAGGAAAGAGGCTGGATAATAATCCAATAGTTGGGGGCGGGTATGCATTAGCATGAGGAAGTGCAGGACACAAGTAGGTGTGCACATTGGGACAATTAAGGAGTTCTTCATTTCTAAAAGAAAGTTGTTGGTGTGAAGTTCAGATTGATTTGCAAACTGACCTCCGCTCTCATGTGATTACTATGGCAACCAGGATTACTCTGCAGCGAAGAAAACAAAATCCTGAAAAAAGTGCCTGTTAATAAATAAATCTAGGACAAATACAATGAGTTCAGTTGTGGCACTGATGCAAAGCTTTTGACAATCTGTCAATGGCTGTGGGTGCAACTGTTAATTTCTTATATGTGTCTCTTTTGTTTTAGGAGTTCAAGGTGGTGTAGATGAGAATCACGCCTCAGTTTTGGTCACAATAACCCTGAAAGATTGAGAGGCAGTGATTGGCTCAAAGTCGCCCATTGAGATTTGTGGTTAATTTGAAACCCGAATCTTGGCTTACTTGGTCTCAATCAAGCATTCTAATCACTGCACTTCAATGGCAGCCAAATAGACCCCTCCCTATTCTCTGCAAGAATAATCTAACTACCCTTGGGCCTAGAAGTTTCTTGCTTGGAACAAGGCTTTTTCAAAAAATATTCTTTGATGGAGCCCTGGCTCACGACCTTTTAATAGGAAGTGAAGCCAGTTTGGTGTAGTGGTTTAAGAACCAAGCTAGAAACCAAGAGACTGTAACTTCTAATCTTGCCTTAGGCACGAATTCAGTGACTTTGGGCCAATCACCAGGAGACTGTGAGTTTTAATCTTGCCTTAGGCATGAAGGCCAGTTGGGTATCTTTGGGCCACTCTCTCTCTCTCAGCTCTGTTAAGAAGGCAGTTGCAATCCCTTCCAGAAAATCTTGCCAAGAAAACTGCAGGGACTAGCTCAGGCAGTATAGGGTTTCCTGCCTGAGCAGGGGGTTGGACTAGATGACCTCCAAGGTCCCTTCCAACATTATTATTATTAAGAGTCACCAGGAGTCAAAAACTGACAGGTAGTCTTGAATTTACAACAGTTCATTTAATGACTGTTCAAAGTTACAACGGCACTGAAAAAGTGACTTATGACTGTTTTTCATGCTTACGGCCATTGCAGCATCCCCATGGTCACATGATCAAAATTCAGACACTTGGCAACTGGTTCATATTTATGATTGGTTGTAGACAATCACCTGTCTGAGATGATATAGGTTCTCCTGCTTGAGCAGGGGGCTGGACTAGAAGACCTCCAAGATCCCTTCCAGCTCCTATTCTATTCTATTCTATTCTATTCCAGTTTCCCAGGGTCATGTGATCTCATTTTGTGACCTTCTGACAAGCAAAGGGAAGCCAGGTTCCCTTAACAACTGTGTTACTAACTTAACAACTGCAGTGATTGACTAAACAACTCTGGCAAAAAAAAGTCATAAAATGGGATGAAACTCACAGTTTTGGGCTCAACTGTGGTTATAAGTTGAGGACTACTTGTATACAGATAGACACCTATAAACAAAAACAGTGAGTGGCTACCTCAGTTATAATGCAGATTGCGCTGACCCTAAGTGATGTGTGGGGTAAGTGAGGTGGAGAAATTAGATGGCACATTGTAATGGTGAGCTGTCACTTGTCCTTTCCAGCTGGCTGTGCAGTGCGCCATGACTGCCGTACCTGGTAATTGTGAGTTGCTGTACAGACGGTGGATCTGGCACCTAGAATATGCAGGTGAATTGAGAAAATAGTTATGCAAAATATTATGATTAAAGTATTTTGGTGTCATGAAGGTGTCATCAACCATCTGTGCTAGTTTCTAAATTAAAGCATCAATGACAGATGGTGGTACTTCTGCATGAAAACATCTAGCAAAGAATAGTTCACTATCTCTCTAAATAATTATGCATAACCATATATAAAATACTGAGTCATTTCTGGTGAGATGGGCAACTATAAATTTGAAAAATAAATAATTAAAAGTATTTCTACTATCAAGCCACTCTTATAATTACAAATGTTTTCCTAACACTCCAAAAGACTTTACTTTCCTATCGGTGATTTGAGTTCCACTGCTCTTACTTGATACTCTTTTAAAGAACGGCAGTTTAATTCCACACCTTATTTGTTAAACAGGCATTAGTAGGTAGCAATAACGATATTGCTTTATTCATTTTTCTATTTATTTTAATTAAATACCATCTACAGGATTGGCAATATCGTTTTCATTTCTGTATGTGTACAGGTAACCTAGGCTTACTCCCTGTTGTTTAATGACCGTTTGAAGTTACAACAGCCTTGCAAACGGTGCGTTCTGGGTACTTTGCAATCTGTTCACATTCAGGATGGTTGCCAGGTGCTCTGTAAATCATGTGATTGTCATTTGCAATCTTCTCTGCTGGCTTCCCCAGAAAGTCAATGGGGAAGTTGGCAGAGAAGTTGCAAGCTGCTGCCACCTGCTGAGAGGACTTCTTCTTATCTCTTGGGTCTTGTTGAAAGAGCTATTTGCCGAGGGGAGCTGACATCCTTCCATGGGGTGCAGAAATGAAGCTTAAGAACATGCTCCTACCTCACCATGCCCAGAAGGCCTCAGCCAGTTACAGGGCCCCATAGTGAGCATAAATTGCAAGAATCCTCCATATGATTATGAGAATGTCACCCACCTGCATTGCTTGGGTGTACCTGTCAGTAGCTGCAGAGCAACACAAAAGTAAATGGAGTATTTTAATGCATGCTGCTGGGTCCTGTAGCTGGCTGATGCTTCCCATCCCACACCAGATTTCTGCATGTTGCTGGGCCCTGTAGCCGGACAAGACCTCCAGCGTCTCTCACCTTCTGAGGCACCCCCATGCTCTGTTTAACAACCTATGTGACTGCTTAACAACTGCAGCTGAGAGAGCTGAGATTGTATCTCATTGAACGAAACAGTCCCATGGCCATCTCACATCGCTTTGATCAATGACCAAGATTCTGGTCTCAATTATTCGTTACAAGTTGAGGACTACCTGTACTTTTAGCATATTAGTGGAATTCCTCCACTTTTTCTGTTGCTTCTGTTCCTTTTGAACAAATTGTACACTTCAATTGCTGTGCTCCAAACGTGGGAGTCATCCTAACAGGTCACTGTTACATTTATGAGTCATGTGTCTTTTTGTACTAGGAATTCAGTCTCCTCTTATTTATTTGCCATAAGTGAGGCATTAGTGAATTTTTTAAAAAATGGCAGTGAACTTTATGTTCCAATGTTCTTTCTGATTTTTTATTGAGTGGTTAATATTTCATAACAGCAACATTCCTACTTTCTTCTACAGTGCATTTGGCTTTAATAGGGATGTTTCTTTCTGTTTTTTTTTTATTTCAACCCTCATAGGATTCAGTTTCAAGCCCTCTTGAAAAAAATTCTCTGCATACAGTATTTGACCAGGTATATTTTTACCAGACCATATGTGGTTCAATCTAGCTTGCACCACACATCCATCATCCATCATTCAGATAACTTAAATCAGGGTCTCAGAAACTAAATCTGTCTAGCTGTAAGGAATGGTGAAACAATAATGAGAAATTCCCAAGCTAGAGAGAACTGTTATCAGATATTTCCTATAGACATCTAGAGCAGAGGTCCCCAAACTCCAGTCCGTGGACCAGTACCGGACCGCGGCATGCCAGCAACCGTTCTGCACAAACAAGCAAAGCCCCATCTGTGGGATGCAGGCAGCACACAATACCATGCATCCTCCGCTCCGCAGAAAAACCTCTCTCCACGGAAGGTTGGGGACCTCTGATCTAGAGCAGTGGTTCTCAACCTTTTTAATGCCGTGACCTCCAACTGGTCGTAAGTCGAGGACTACTCAACTGGTGCAGCACTGTTTGCAGATTGGGACTTTTGGTGGGCTCAGCAGGGCAGAGACAGCCTGGACAATTCCTATTGGCTTTTGAAAGCCAATAGAATTAGACTCTATTCAAGAGAATCTATTCTATTGGCTTTCAAAAGCCAATAGAATAAAAGGGAGTAGCACAGCTAAGGAAAAGGGGGAAAAAAATGGCGGACTGCGTTGTTTGGCGACCCCCGTGAAATGGTCATTCGACCCCAAATGGGGTCCCGAACCACAGGTTGAGAACCACTGATCTAGAGGATGCCTAAGCATCCATTGACTTGGAAAAAGAGGGGGGGACCCCCCTAGCTCTTTGACTTGGCTTACTGAGTGGTATTTATTTATTTATTTATTTATTTATTTATTTATGAGACTTATATACCGCTTTAAGTGCAAGCACTCTCTAAGCGGTGTATACCAGTAAGCAATGTATATATATATTTACATTGCCCCCAACAATCTGGGTCCTCATTTTACCTACCCCGTAAGGATGGAAGGCTGAGTCAACCTTGAGCCGGTGAGATTTGAACCGCTGACCTGCTGAACACAGTCAGCTAAAGTGGCCTGCAGTACTGCACCCTAACTGCTGCGGCACCTCGGCTCTTGGTATCTTGGTATTCATCCTTAATTGGTTCAAGGTATCAATTCACCAAAAACAATGAGTACCAAACAATTCCCCCCCCCAATAAGGAATAATGCAGTGAGTCACAAAAGGCAGCCGACACCGACAAATTCTAGCTTGTGCTTTAAGTACCGAATAATGAGTACTGCGACAAAATGTTCATGTCAAAATGCACCAAGTTCCAAATTTGATGAGTTTCAAAGCAGCTGAAACACTGGAAGTTTTTAAGAAGAGACCGGACAGCCATTTGTCCGAAATGATATACGGTTTCCTGCCTGAGCAGGGGGTTGGACTAGATGACCTCCAAGGTCCCTTCCAACTTTATTATTATTATTATTATTATTATGACTGAATTTTGTCTACTACTACAACAGGCAAATCTGTATATGTATATACGACCTGATTTTTGCGTGCTAATAAAGAGATACAGGTAGCCCTCAACTTAAAACAGTTCGCTTAGTGACCGTTCGAAGTTACAACCGCACTGAAAAAAGTGACTTATGACCATTCTTCACACTTACGACCATTGCAGCATCCCCATGGTCACATCATTTACCTTCGGATGCTTCACATTTATGACGGTTGCAATGTCCCAGGGTCATGTCATCCCCTTTTGTGACCTTCTGACAAGCAAAGTCAATGTGGACACCAGATTCACTTAACCAACCATGTTACTAACTTAACAACTGCAGTGATTCGCTTAACAAATGCGGCAAGAAAAGTCGTAAAATAAGGCAAAACTCACTTAACAAATTTCTCACTTAGCAACATAAATTTTGGGCTCAGTTGAGGTCATAAGTTGAGTTCATTTAACCAAGTCATTGTCTGAGAGCTTTCTGCTTAAATCCTGAAAAAGGATTTAAATGCAGAGCTAAGATTTAGTCAAACCTGCTACGAAGCTTGCCATCTTCTGCCTCCAGAGGCTGTGAACGCTCCAACACTGGAAGATTTCAAAAAGAGACTGAACAGCTATTTGTCTGAAATGGTATAGAATTTCCTGCCTGAGCGGGGGGTTGGACTAGATGCCCTCCAAGGTCACTTCCAACTTTATTATTATTATTATTATCGCCAATATTTCCAAAACCAAGTGTTTACCTATTTTCTTCTTTTCTTTGCTAGTCCTATTCCAGTGACAGCAAACCTTTTAGAGACCGAGTGCCAAAACTTCAACCCCAAACCCACTTATGTATCATCGGGTGCCGGATGGGCATGGCTCATTGGGTGGGCGTGGCCAATTGGGTGGGTATGGCCCATTAGGTGGGTGTGGCTGCGGTAATAACGGCTGACTGGATGGGACTAAAAAGTTCAATCAATCAATTCCAACTTTGCGAGATCTTCCCCCCCCCCGAAGTTGAAATTGATTGATTGATTGAACCTTTTTTTTTGTACACGGCAGTGGAGGCCTAAAACGAAAAGGTTTTATAAAACCCAGCTGAAGGCCTAGGACTGGGGCGACGGCATGGGTGCCCACAAAGAGGGCTCTGCGTGCCACCTGTGGCACCCGTGCCATAGGTTCGCCACCACGGTCCTATTCTATACATGTAGTCCTCAACTTACAACAGTTCATTTAGTGACCGTTCAAATGGTCACTAAGGGGAAAGGGCAAAACTCAACAAATTTCTCACTTAGCAACCTAAATTCTGGGCTCAATTGTGGTGGTAAGTTGAGGACTACCTGTAATCTTCAAGGAGGCTGAGAATACCATTTCGTGTCTGCAGGCAGCATTTGATGTAATTATAACAGCTGTTGGTAGTTTTGGAAGTTGCTCAATCATATCCGTCATTTTTTCCCAGCCAAAAAATGACAGTAAATCACAGCCCATGATTAGGCCAGTATCCTTGCCTGCCATTTAGCATAAGACTCATAGCTTGGTTTGATAGCATCTAAAGCAAACATGAATGAAGCCAAGAAAAACAATTGATTGCCTATTTGTAGAATAAAGGTGCAAATAGTTTGTATACACCCATAGTAGTTCAATTGTTCATTGTGCCCAACTACATTTGTCTGGCTAGACAAGGAACAAACATCGAAGGACACAAAAAGTCTGATAAGTAAATTTATTGTAGAAAACCAAATGAAGCCCTTGTGATAGCAACTGCTGTGTATTAAACACAAGACCAATAGATAATGTGTAGGGCTGTTGCTGTTTTTAACTTCTTTTTCCTGCCTGCATAGTTAATGGAAGAAAAGCCACTCTTTTTAGGGTGGAAGAAATGGTTTCCCTTGTTTTGGTAATGGACTAGCCTGATAATCATGCTGTTTCCCTATGATCACCTGAGTTTTCACACAAAGTTGTTCTTCATTACACAAAGAGGATGACTCTTTGTGTAATGCTTTGAACCCCTCAAGCTGAGTGAGAACAGCTGGCTTTTGGTTTACTTCCGACAACATTAGAATCCATGCTTCTAAGAGATAGCAAATATCATGAATTGATGTGTTCAGTCAGCTCATATTTATGTTTCATAATACTGATTTAATAGGCACGGTGACACTTCTATTTATCTGACACAACTGCCTCCCCTCTAATCTTCAAGGACTACTCATTTTTTTCTTGTTCGGCAATTTCTTTTCTTTTTCATTTAAATGCTTGAAACCTGTTCCTTCCGTAAAGGCATAAAATGTTCTAATTTCAGAAGGGCAGATCTTCTGCATCTTGTTGTGATTGGCATTATTATCCCATCTTTTTTCTTTTGCTAGATTTCTTCCTCGTAAAGTCTGTTTCCTCCGACAATTCATATTATAGTGCCTCCTGCAGTCTAATACATTTTCATCCCCTCTTATGACCGGATGTTGCTTTTCATTGCTTCAATCCTTATTTTTATTCAAACACCATTACAAGTTTGCTGTTGCTGCCAGGTTTCCAATCAGCCAGGAACACAAACAGGTCACAATTGTAGTCTCATCTGTTACCTTAACTCAGGCATGTCAAACTGCCAGCCCACGGGCTAGATGCATCACGCCAAAACTGCGCCCACCCTATTGCCGGCAATGGGGAAAAAGGCGCAATACATTGTGTGACTTCACATGACATCGCGAGTTTGACATGCCTGCCTTAACTTTTGTTTCTTCAGTTATCACCAGCAGAAAGCCCTTTTAATTTTAATTGTTTGCCTTCTAAATTGGTAGATTAGGTATCCCACAAAGAGAAAATGTTTAAAGACTCCATTTTAAATTTGCCCACCAGATTCAATTTCCAAACCCTTTCTCTGTATTCTCACTAACTGGAGGCTGCTTCCCTCCCAGTGTTAACTAGGTTGGAAGAAAAAAAAATGCCACTGGGATAAAGGGTTAATAAGGGGATTGTCCTTCAGAGTACTTTTCTGTGCCCAGACAATGGGAATTGTACTTTATATGGCAATGTGAAACAAAAGTTAGTGGAGCCTGGAAGTTGGTTGTCCTATATACATCAGTATTTGCATCCGTCTTTACACAAAGGGAAAAAACAACCTATCAAAAACAGTACCGCAGAAAACAGATTAGAAACACAAGTTAAGATAGGCAAGAAAATGGTAAGTGAGCACCTGTCCACTCTAGACGAGTTCAAATCACCAGGACCAGATGGACTACACCCAAGATTCTGAAGAAAATGGCAGATGTGATCTCAGAACCACTGAACTATATCTTTCAAAGATCCTGGAGCACTGGGGAAGTACCAGAGGACTGGAAAAGAGCTGATGTAGTTCCCATCTTCAAAAAGGGAAAAAAATGGATTCATGAAACTACAGACCTATCAGCCTGACCTCAATACCTGGGAAGATTCTGGAAAAGATAATCAAGCAACGAATCAGTGAACACCTAGAGGCAAACAAAGTCATTACCAAAAGCCAACATGGGTTTGTTAAAAACAGATCATGCCAGACAAACCTTATTGCATTCTTTGACCAAGTGGCAAAATTAGTGGATCAGAGGAATGCTGTGGATATAATTTACTTGGACTTCAGTAAGGCATTTGATAAAGTAGACCACAACTTACTACTTGATAAGATAGAAATTGTGGGTTAGACAGCATCACCAGATGGATTCGTAGCTGGCTGACCCGCCGTACTCAGCGTGTGGTCCTCATTGGAACTGCATCTACATGGAGGAAAGTGTGTAGTGGGGTGCCCCAGGGCTCTGTTCTGGGCCCAGTGCTCTTCAACATCTTCATCAATGATTTGGATGAGGGGATAGATGGGGAACTCATCAAATTTGCAGACGACACCAAACTGGCAATAATAGCCAAAACTCCAGAGGATAGGCTCAAGATACAGAAGGATCTTGACAGACTTGAACATTGGGTGCTATCTAACAAAATGAAATTCAATGGTGAAAAAAGTAAGGTTCTACATTTAGGCAAGAAAAATCAAATGCATAGGTACAGTATAGGTGGTACCTTGCTCAATAGTAGCAACTGTGAGAGGGATCTTGGAGTCCTAGTGGACAATCACTTAAATATGAGCCAGCTGTGTGCTGCAGCTGCCAAAAAAGCCAACACAGTGCTAGGCTGCATTAACCAAGGGATAGAAGTTCCACTTCAGTGGAAAGGTAACAGTGTTCTAGATGTCATGCTGGCGACATGACCATAGAAATATATTTGGACAGTGCTGGCTGAAAGGCCTTGAAATGGAGGTGATATATAGTCTATAGTCAGCAACGACTAGTGGAGTAAAATTTGCAAGGACTCCTTTATCTTTTAATTTTTTTTATCTTAATTGTCCATTCTACACTGGATTAGTGAATTTTATTTTATATCTTTTCTGTGCTATTAATTATATTTGACTGAGTTCAATGTTCTATATATTTTAGGTTTTTTTTTTTAAAAAAAGGTTTTTAGACTTTTTTTAAAATGTTTTAAATAGTTTTCCACTATCCAGAGAACATTGATTAAAAAATTATTACATAAATTTGGTTTCTTGCAGGCAGGCCTGAAGTGTAAAGGAGAAGGAGATAATGACACAGAAAGGAGAAAAAGATTTAGAAGGGGAGGTAAGGGAGCACTCCTCCAAATTAAATGAAGATTTATTGATTTATATATATATATATGTTTGCTAGATTTCTATCTTGCTTTTCCTCAAGGCAACCTAATTGAGGAAGCAACCTAATTGAGGAAATCCTTTCGTTTTTTTTTTCCCTCCACAACAACAAGAATTGTTTGGGCTCAAATTCCATGAACCAATAAGGGGAAAAAAATGTGATTTTGGCCTTCAATAATGTGACTCTGAATACAGCAAAAAAAGTAAAAAATAAACCCCCAAATCCCTGAAATCAAATACTATTTAAAAATACATGGGATACCATCATGATGAGGTGAGTGCCTTTGGGAGTTTTTTTTTAATTTTTAAAGATTTTTTTAAATCTTAAAAACCAGGCCCTGTTCGTTTCACAACAGTAACAAAGATTCTTTGAGATATTGTCCAAAAATTGGTTCAGCCTGACACAGAAGCCAATCAAAGCCAGACACGAGAGATGGACATTTGCAAAACTTTTATTGACGCACTTTAGCAAATGGGTCCCAATCCAATGTGGGAGCTGAGACTCTGAACAACAGCGTAGCCCGATCTTTTATACAATTGATTTCTAGAAATAGGGAAGTAACATTTCACAAAGCTATTACCCTTTTTGGAGGTCTACCTTGCTTTTAGTCTACGTGTCCATTTGTCTATTTGCACCTTGCCTGAGCTTACGGGTCATTTTGCCTCTATAGAGTTATAGCTTGCTTAAGCTTTACATGTCCTGTGTGTCCCCTATTTGGGTTTCTGCTGCTTGTTTTCTTGTTGCCAAATCTTGTAACTTCCTATCTATTTCTGAGTACCTGTTGTTACAATTCCTTCATCTCTAATTGACACTTTGCACAATTGCATTCTTCTAAATTTTTATTCTTTCCTAGGATGGGGGTGTATTGCTTCTTAATGGGTGATCCATCAGGATCAATGTTTCGGTTCAGTTTTTTTTAAATTACAACAGAAGGCAGAAGTGCTCAAGGCCCTTCTTTTTTTGTACGTGTAGTTTCATATGAACATTTATCTTAAAAAAAAAATCTTTATCTAAATGAGTTCAGTTAGTAGATTAAAGCCGGATGGAGACGTGGCCTGCAGTGTCGAACCTATGAACCAGCCACCAACTGCATCACATACTAGCAGATACAAGCCAGAAGGTAAGTGGCCAGGATCCAGCCAGATCCTATTTAGTGCGAGCAATGCAAACTGCAAGCTTGATGCTCCATTCAATAATAATGCTGTGTTAGGAAAAAGGCCAAAGATGCTAGCAGTTTGATGCCCTTAGGAAAAGCTTTAAGGTTTTAGGCCATTCTTCATTCTACGTCAGCCACCACATTCTGTTTAAGATTGTCAGGAGAATTCTGCTGCTGAATTAAATCCATGACTCATTTAACTCTACATTGTATTTCTCTATCAGATGGCCTTCCGCCTGTTTTTCACAGCAGATGTTTGCCAAAGGGAGGTTGCTTTTGATTTTGGGGGTAAATATATAATCAGCTGAGGTTTGGTAGCTTCTTTTTAGACCAGGGGTCCTCAAACCTGGCCACTTTAAGACTTGTGGACTTCAACTCCCAGAATTCTGGGAGTTGAAGTCCACAAGTCTTAAGGTGGCCAGGTTTGAGGACCCCTATTTTAGACTTTGTTAAAAAGCATAAAACTTTGTGAGCTGTAGTTGGTTTCATCCAATGTATAGAATGGGCTAAACTGATGCAGAATTTAAATCAGGGTGATGTAGAGAGAAAGCAAGCTGATTAGGCAGATATATATTACATATGAGACACGTTACAATACAAGTAGTCCTTGGCTAACAATCATTGAAAGTTACAACAGCACTGAGTAAGGTAACTTTACAATTGTAATTCAGGTGTTTGGCAACTGGTTCACAATTATAATGGTCACAGCGTCCCACAATCACATGGTCACTGTTGAGTCCGTGGCGGGAAAACAGACACGAGAAGCAGCTGGAGTTCTCAGTTTCATTTATTCAGCGTTCAGCTTACAGGAAGATGGCTTCAGCCTCGCCCAACGCCTCGCAGCCTCTTATATAGGCAACTCCCGGGTAAATGGGTTACTTTTCCCGCGCCAGCACCCGCGCATGCGCACGGCGCTGGCGACAGCCTGTCTGGTCCCGGGCAGCTTTGCACCTGCCCGGGACTGCCTGCAAACGCCCAAGCCGTTTGCAAGGCTCGGGACATAACACCCCTTTCCCCCGGGCTAAAACTACTACCAACATACAACATTTATTTTATATGACATTTTGCTCCCCAGTGCTCCCACTGATTACTGGCTTTTGCCTTGCCAGCAATGTTATGTAATCTTCTAGATACTTAGGAGATTTCTTTGCTCTCTGTGACCTTCTTAGCTCTGGGTTACTGGCATAAGTCCCCTGACTGGAGGGAGGCGTGAGCCTGTTCTCTCTATTGGGCCCTGGTGTCTTCCAAGGACGGTGCCCCGATGCCTGGCCTGCTTGCTTGCCCACCGGGCTCGTCAGGCCAGGGCTTCTGTTACTTTGTGACCTGGTTGACCTACCTAGCTGTAGACCCTCAGGCCCCTTGAAGTGATAGCCGCTGCTGGGCGTCTCTGTAGAACCTCCTAGGTCAGTCCAAGACCTGTCAGTAGGCTGTCCATTCCCTGAACCCCATTCTGTGTTCGGGCTCGTGTGGGTTTCTGTACTTTCCCAAAACTCAGGTGTTCCCTGATTTGTGCTAGGGTTGTTGTAGTCGGGACTTGGTTCCTCGACTAGCTCTGTGTATGTTTGACCCCCTGTAGGATTTGGGGTAAGGTCAGGCCAACCTTGGGAATTGTGTGCCAGTTCTCTTGCGGGGAATGATTTGTTGGGATGCCCCCGGGTATCCTCCGTTGCTGGAGTGCTGTGTGATGTGTGTGGAAAGTGAGTATGCCCCCGGGGTGACTCCCTGGCTGGAGTAGGCGTGAGTGCCTGTTGTGTGGGTAAGCTCCATGACTTTCTTTTCGGAGCAATTGCAGAACCTTGGGACGAGCCGTTTGTGGCTCCCTCAGTGGAGATGGGCAGTAGCTCTTGCCCTTCCCTTTGCTCCAAAGGGTCCCCCTCCCCCCCTGGAAAAGACCCAGGAGTCTCAGCAGAAAAGTCTCGCCTAGAGCGAAGTTGGTCGATGTGCCGACGCAGGACACGACCGTTGTCCAGGGCAACCTCGTAGGAGAGAGGACCTGTGATCCTGGACACAGAAGCGGGGACCCATGTATGACCAGGCCCGTAATTGCGAGCCCAAACCGGGGCACCCACAAGTAGTTGTCTAGGTGCCCTAGGATGTGAGGTAGATGAAGGCAGTCTGTCCGGATGCAACCGGTCAAGTCTAGTAGTAAGTTGGCGCCCCCAACGAAGTTCAGCTGGACTTCTCCCTGTAGAAGTGGACGGTGTGGTCGATAAGAAAGGAGAAAGTCAGCCAACCTGTGATGCCAGTCCCCGTAGGTTGAGTCTCTTCAAGGCGTCCTTTGCGATGCGCACCATGCGTTCAGCCATACCGTTGGTGGACGGGTGAAAAGGCGCAGACGTGGCATGACGAATCAGGTTTGCCTGTAAGAAAGCTTGGAATTCGGAGGAGGTGAATTGAGGGCCGTTGTCGGACACAATGACATCTGGCAGCCCGTGTGCAGCAAAAATCCCCCTCAGTACCTGAATAGTCTTTGCAGTGGTGGTGGATGAGACAGGCACAACCTCAAGCCATTTTGAATGGCTGTCAACAAGGACCAAGAAGAACTGGCCCTGAAAGGGCCCAGCGTAGTCAATGTGCACCCTAGACCATGGGGACTGTGTTTCCTCCCATCTATGCACAGGAGCTTGGGGCATCTCTGGGCGAGATCGTTGGCACAGGTGGCATGCGTGTACCTTAGCCTCAATATCTTTATCTAAACCAGGCCACCACAAGTGGCTTCGTGCAAGAGCCTTCATACGAACAATGCCAGGATGACCCTCGTGGAGGGATTCTAAGACCCTAGTCCTCATTGAGGTGGGAATGACAACTCTGTTTCCCCAAAGCAGACAACCCTGAGAAAGGGACAGTTCGTTTCTTTTGGACCAGAAACTCTGAAACTCAGGACTAGGGCAGTGCTCAGGCCACCCGGACAGGACCCAGGAGCGGACACGTGAAAGTGTGTGATCTGTACCCGTTTCAGCGGTAACATCCCTGGCACTAAGAGGGAGCTCGGGCAAGGCTTGGATTGATAGAATGTTGACAGCTGGCGCGGGGTCAGCTTCTACTACTGGCAGAGGCAATCTACTGAGGCCATCAGCATGGCCCATTTCTTTCCCAGGCTTGTGGAGTAATGAAAAATCATATGCAGACAAGAAAATAGACCACCTAAGCATTCTAGGGGAATGATGTGGGGAGTCTGCTTACGTGTGGTAAACAGTCCCAGCAGAGGCTTATGGTCAGTGAAGACCGTGAAATGCCTGCCATATAGAAAATCGTGGAATTTTTTAATTCCAGCAACAACAGCCAGAGCCTCCCTGTCTATCTGAGCGTAGTTGCGCTCGGCAGAAGACAGTGTTCTGGAGTAGTATGCAATAGGAACCTGAGTTCCATCAGACCTGAGGTGACTCAGGACAGCTCCAACCCCGTAGGGGGACGCATCACAAGCGATGCACACAGGGAGAGACTCGTTGAAATGTGCAAGAACACTGTTAGAAGTGAGCAAGGCCTTGACTTCTTTAAAGCAAGCCTCATGCGCTTGTGACCACAGCCACACAGCCTGTTTGTCTAGTAGCCTGTGAAGAGGCTCAGCTACACTAGCTTTATGTGGAAGAAAAGAATTGTAGAAATTCAGGAGGCCTAGAAAGGCCTGAAGTTCGGCCTTAGACTTTGGCCTGGGTGCATCTAAAATAGCAGTTAGTTTGGATTCAGCAGGATGAATCCCAGCAGCATCAATTTTGAATCCCAGAAATTCAGTAGAAGGCACCCCAATCTGGCATTTGTCTTTTCTGAGCTTGAGGCCTGATTTCCTGAATCTTAACAGGACAGCCCTAAGCCTTTCAGCTAGAATGTGTGTGGAGTCTCCTGCAATCAAGACATCGTCAAAGTAGGGGCAGACCCCTGGTATACCTCGTAGTGTGTTTTCCATAACGCTTTGGAAAATCCCAGGAGCGACATTCACTCCAAACTGTAGCCTTTTTACTTTAAAGGCTCCCCTGTGGGTCACAATGGTCTGAGCTATGGCAGCATCATCAACAGGCAGCTGTTGATATGCTTGAGCTAGGTCAAGCTTTGCAAAACACGCCCCCCCTTGAGAGAGGCCAGGATGTGACTGACCACAGGAACAGGATAGGCATGTTGCTGCAATGCCTTATTGAGTGTGCATTTGTAATCAGCACAAATGCGAATGTCCCCATTTGCCTTTAGAGGCGTGACAATGGGGGTCTCCCACGGGCTGGAATCAACAGGTTCTAGGATTCCCTGTTGGATTAGTTTGTCTAGTTCAGTGTCAATCTTACTTTTTAAAGCAAAAGGGACCCTTCTTGCTTTAATCCTAATGGGAGTGACAGTGGGGTCTAGCTTTAAGGACACAGGTGGTCCTTTGAATGTGCCCAGCTGGGGGCTGAAAACATCTGCAAATTCTGTGCAGACTTCCTGTAGGTCGAGTGTTTGTAAGCTATTGAGTCCTGTGACGTGTATCCCCAGGGCCTCAAACCAATCGAGTCCTATGAGACTCGTTCGTTCACCCCCTACTACTAATAAGTCTAGTGGACCTTCAAAACTCTTGTATTGCACGTTAAGGGTGGCCTCCCCCTTAACACACACTCTTGAGTTCTGAAAATCTGTTAATACAATATCAGAAGGCCTTAACTTGGCCTTAGACCCACTTCTGGAACAAATCTTCCTAAATGTATGCAATGAAATGATGGACAGGGCAGACCCTGTGTCTAGTTCCATAGATAATGGAACCCCTTGTAGCTTCACGTTGAGTGACAGCTTTTTCTTCATGGGCTTGTGTGTGCCTGTTCTACAGATGCTTCTTCGCGAAGCGCAAAAACCTACCCTATTCTGGCTGGGGAATCTGGTACCCTTCAGGCGTTCTTCTTGGGGTTGTGCCTTTCGTCGGCCCAGGCACACAGCTGCAATGTGCCCTTGTTTACCGCATGCCCGGCAGGTAGCGGAGCGGAACTTGCAGTCGGTTCTCCTGTGGCGACCTCCACAGCCGATGCACTTGAGCGGAGCCGAAGAGCTTCCCTTCTGGTTCTCTTCCTTCGCGGGGTGTAGACGGTCGACTTCCTCGTCCGGATCCTCCTCGGAGTTTCGTCGGACGTCTTCCTGGTGCACGGACGCACCCTCTGCACTGTTTCTGATCGGCCGCATGTTTTTGACGGCGCCGCCTGCTGCTTCTTCTGCGGTGACTTCCCTTAAGGCGTCTTGGAAGGATAATTCTTCCTTTGCGAAAAGTCTCTGTTGTAGCTCGCGATGCCTTAACCCGCACACGAATCGGTCCCTCAGTCG